AACCCACTCTGTCACAACCCATTAAGTGTAGAGCTCAATGGATTTTTACATATGTGTACATCTGTGTCACCACCGCCCAGACAAAAATGGAGAACATTCCAGCACCCTAACGCACACCCTTGTGTCCCTCTCAGGAGCGACTCCCTCCAAGGGAAACCACTGTTCTGACCTCTATCATCATGGATTAGTTTCACCTGTCTCTTGAACATCAGGTCAATGGAATTATAGAGTATGCATTGTTTTTGGTCTTTTTTCAAAAACATGCTTGGGAGATTCACCTGTATGTCTCAGAGGTTTGTGTCATTGCTATGGAAGGACTTCGGTTGCTCGTATTATCTCCCCCCATGCCACCCCCGCCATCTTGGCATGACCACCACTAGCATTTTAATGGAATGACCTGTCCATTACATGTTCTCTGCATATATATATATATTTTTTTAAATTTATTTGTGAGAGTGAGTACACAGAAGGGAAGGGGCAGAGGGAGAGAAGCTTTAAGCAGTCCCCACTCTCTGCATTCCCCATTGAGTACAGAGCCTGCCTCAGAGTTCTGTCCCGTGATCCCGAGATCAGGACCTGAGCTGGAACCAGGAGTTGGACACTTCACCAACTGTGCCACCCAGGTGCCCCTGCCTATGTATTTTAAAACCTAGTTATAAGGCAGTGTGCAATAGTTTACAGTTGACATTTCTGGTCTTAAGGGCATTTCTCTTTTCACCCTCTACCATGTCCTGGAGAAGACTTGCTGGAGTTGCTTTGCACCCATGTGGAGAGTTCTTCCTCCTATGTGTTCTAGAACTTTATTTAGAAGTCATTTAGAAGAAGTCATTTAGAAAGCTCAGAGGGGCTCAAGATGATGGCGTCCTTCGTAACTTGGCTTGTCCTCACTTGGCCGTCATCCCTCCAGCTGGAGGTCTTGTTCTCTCCACTGACCATGTGCAGTGGGAACAGAGTGGTGGGTCCAGGCTCACGTCTGGGAGCTCACACCCACGATGGGCACACAGCAGCATGTGGAACACAAGTCTCCCACCTGGCACATGGCCCTCACTCAGGGCTGGTTCTCCCTAGAGATGTGGGCCTAGAGCCCTGGGGGACGGTTGGACTGAGGTCCTGGCTCCCCCCATCCCATCGTTTCCCAGCCCCAAGCCCATGGTCAGAGTAAGACAGATCTAAAGACTGGCTGGGCTAGGAGTCCATGGGCCCCGTGGGCTTCAGCTGCTGGTGACTTTGCTTCTTCTTGCTGCCTAGATGTGCAGTGGGACGTGTGTGTGTGTGTGTGTGTGTGTGTGTGTGTGTGTGTGTGTGTGAATAACCAGCACAGCTTGCTCCTTGCTCGCGGTACTGACATGTTCCTTCATTCTGTAGTTTCTGATTTTATCTTGTCTGATACCTGAAAGGCTCCTGAGAAACTGCATGTTCAGAGCCCAAGTCTGATTTTTACTTCCGTCCGAGTTCCTGGTGTCTGCAGTGACTTTGGGCTTCTTGGGCGTGTCTGCAAACACCCCCGCTCATTAGTCCCCTTTGCTCTGACTTACCGGAACACGGCGCACGGTGGGGAGGGTGGGTGTCACGGCACCCAGACACACGGGGCCTTGTCTCCCGCTCAGGCCACCTTCCCGAAGAGCTTTGCCTCCGTCAGATGCCTGCTCCTCTACTGAGGCTCTCACACCAGAGGCACTGTGGTGTGTAGGGAGTCCAAGGCAGCGCTCCTGTCCCTGGGGAAGCAAGGCCAGGGTCCAGGACACACAGCTCCCATGCGTCTTTGCTCCATGTCCCAGCTGCTCCCACAGCCCTCGGGCCGCGCTGGTTCTGGCCCATCGGCTGAGGTCAAGGGCGGCAGAATGCAAACAGCTCCCTGCAGCCCTTGCTCTGGGGGCAGCCGGGGTCCCTGGAGTAATTAGGGTCTGGAGTGGGGAAGAGGAGCCCCGCAGGTTCCAAGTGTCCCTGAGGGTGCAGGGGGCAGGGACTACCATGGTTGCTGCCTCATCAGCTCTGCTGCTCCAGACTCTGTCCCCAGCCCAGTCTCCCTGTGCCCCCACTGGCAGGGGCGGGGCTGGGGCAGGGTGCAGAGCCTCGCAGAGGCTTGACCAGTGGGTATACCCCAGTTAGCTCTGGGGCTTTGCTCCTGCTGTTTCCACTGTGGAGCAATAAGGGGCAGTGTCCTTGGCCAGAGGGACTTCCAGATTCCTGCACTGGGACCCGCACTGACAGCAGGTGAAAGAGATTGTTGTCCCCCACCTGCATTCCAAAGTTTCTTTACTGCTAGCTCCTTCTCTCCCTCTATTCCCAGGAGGTGAGGAGGACCCAGAGTGGCCAACTTTGCTGAGAAGCATCTCCGAGATGCTGCTGAGAAACGGACCGGGACAGCACAGACCTGTAGTGCCACCTAGGGGACAAGTGTCCCCGGGTTTCAGGCTGGTGCACACAGACTCCTCATTGCAAGTTAACCCAATTTATAAAACCCAGGATTCACTTGAAGAAAAAAAATGGCTGGGGGGGGGCGCCTGGGTGGCTCAGTGGGTTAAGCCTCTGCCTTCGGCTCTGGTCATGATCTCAGGGTCCTTGGATGGACCCCCATGGGCTCTCAGCTCAGCAGGGTGCCTGCTTCCCCCTCTCTCTGCCTGCCTCTCTGCCTACTTGTGATCTCTGTCAAATAAATAAAACCTTTAAAAAAATTATTTCAGTTATTTCTCATTTACAAAGGCATGCCTTTTAGAGTACCTTTAAAAATGTATGCTCCCATCCTACATTTTAAGTGATGATTTAACAAAAAAAAATTAGTTTCTTTCCATGAAGGTGGAAAGAGATGGCACTTACTGTGTGGAGTGAGGAGAAACTAGGAAAGCACTTCAGAAAGGCAATGCAGAGATACTTGGTTTTACATATTATTCTCATTCTCCAAGATTTTCTTTAAGTCATGAAAATGAAAACCAAGGAATGTGTACAGGAGGAAGAACTGTTCCTCCCTTGCTTCGATCCATCCAGGGTAGAGGCCACTAATTCTTGATCATGTCCTATTTAAATGCCAGTGACTTACAGATCTGGCCCCCCACCACGCGCCAGACTCCTTCCCCCAGGTGCCCGTTCAGCATCTCCGCTGGGATGTCTGAACCAAACTTTCCCATCCCCGCGGCTAGGAAGCGCAGGAAGCACGGGAGTCATCCTTGACTCTTTTCTCTCCCAACCAACAGCCAAGCCAGGAGGAGATCTCCAGTTTCCATCTTCAGAATATAAGCAGAGCCTGGCAGGTTCTCACTCCCCGGTCGCCGCCTCTAGGTCCGAGAACGGTGCTGTTTCTTGGCCTGGATTATGGCAGTGGCATCCTGACTGGTCTCCCTGCTTCCCACTTTGTCCTTCCACAGTTCAACCAGGCAGACCGAGGCATCCTTCCTGTAAGTCAGGTGATGTCTCTCCTTGACTCAAAAGCCTGCAGTGGGTCCATTTTACTCAGAATAAAAGCCGAAGTCCCTACAGTGGCTTCTCAGGCCCACGTGATATGCACCCAGCTGCTTCTCTGACTCCTCTCCAACCCCTCTCCATCTTGTTCCCTCCGCTCGTCACGCTGGCTCTTTGCACACTGAGGGCACGCCTGCTTTAGGACCTACTCTTCTCCCAGGTATCTGCATGGCCAATGATCACCTCCTTTAGGTGTTTGTTCAACTGTTAGGACAGCAAGGTGTCTACCCTGACCAACTCCTTTATAATCGTCTAATCCAACAGTCCGTACTGAAGCAGTATTTGCTCAGCTTTCTTAACCTTGAGGTGGTCACTGACATGCACTTTGGTCAATTCAAAGTAGGGCGCCTCTATGTCCCCATTTGCCTAGGATATAGTAGTTCCAGGTGACTTGTTGCCCCACAGTTATAATAATAACAATAGCATCCCCTTCACTTCCCAGTAATAAATATACCATTTATTGGTATCAAGACTAAGTTCAGTAATTTGCTCCTTGGACATTTATCTCAGAATGAATTCTGAACATCACTTAACAAAGTTAAACTGGTTTTCAAATTGGGAAAAAAAAAAAAGACAACTCAACTACACCAAAAAATAAACGATTCAACTTAAAAAATGGGAGGAGGACTTAAAATAGACATTTCTTCAAAAAAGATGTAGGGATGGTCAATACGCCTGGGAGAAGATGCTCGACATCACGGATCGTTAAGGAAATGCAACTCTGAACCACAGGGAGGTGCCCCGCACCCCCACCAGGATGGCTATTCTAAAAAAACAGAAAAGGACAAGTATCTGTGCAGGATGTGGAGAAACTGGAAACCCCTGTGCAAGGTTGGTGAGAGGGTAAAAGGGTGCAGCTGCTATGGAAAACTGTTTGTCAAGTCCTAGAAATAATTCCACTTTTGGGAACATGCCCAGAACTGAGAGCAGGGCCATGAAGAGATACTCATCACAAAAGCAATGCAAGTGTCCACGGGTGCATGGAAGGACACACAAACATCGTCTATACATACAATGGAATGTTCTTAGAAAAGGCGGCAGTGCTGACACGTGATAGGACGTGATGCTGGGTGAGATAACCCAGGCACAAAAGGACAGCTCTTGTAGGATTCCCTTTCTGTGAGGGGCCTAGAGTAGTCTAAAAGCAGTAGAAAGAATGGTACTTGCTGGGGTGGCGGTGGGGGGCAGGAAGGGGAGCTGGGGAGTCTGTATTGAATGGGGCAGAATTTCAGCTCTGCAAGACGAAGCAAGTCCAGAGGCTACCGGCGGTCGCACAACAGTGGGAATGTATTTGATGTCACTTAAAAAATGGTTAAGATGGTAAATTCTACAGTATGTGTATTTTTCCTCAATTAAGAGATTTTTAAAAATCCAAGAAAGACATTAAAGGATCAGCAGAAGTTAGAGCAGTATTTATTCCATTTTCTTGCAATCGTATTATCTAAGGCATTTGTGGTAATTACATGGCAAGAGAATACAATTTCTTTTAAGGCCTCTGTAGTTGGACTTTTGTGCAGAAATATATCGTATTTTGTATGCATTTGAGAGAACTTATGTTATTCATGAGAAATATATCTTTGCCTCATTATCCCTTAATCACACTCAGCCACTTGCAGTAGAGGGCATGCCTCATTTTGTAGCTGCTCCGAAGATCCCCTGCTTGGCTGTGGCCTGGCCCAGACAATACGAGGGGCCTCGCTGCGTCCCCTGCCCCTCAGGCCGCGCTCTCGATGACAACGGCAATGCCCTGGCCGCCGCCGATGCACGCTGACCCAACAGCGTATTTCCCGCCCCGACGCCTAGAAGAGAAAGCAGTGGCTGAAATGTACTCAAGGAAAAAACAGAGCTAGTCAGAAAATTAAAGAACTAGACAGAATAACGACCACATCTGCATTCTTCATCCTCATTCAGCTCAGTGTCTCCGTCTTTTCTCCAGGCCTCAATACTGATCTAGAGTCACAAGGTAAGGAATTCAGGAAACAGTATTTTTATTAAAAGAAGGTGTTAACCGAGAAGAGAGAGGCTGAAACAGATCTAGAAGCTGAGGTGTGCTCTGAGAAAGGAGAGGGGCCAGGAGGTCCCGGAGATGAAAAGGAAGCTGAAGAAGGGGCCGGCCTCTGATTTTTATATGGTCCAGGTTTTCATGGCACAGGAGAGAAAGGGCAATCAGTGAAGTGTGCCCATGTGAACAGGTGGATGATTTAGAAGCATTTCTTGTCCCTTGCATAAAAATTAGATTCCTCTAGACCACGATCTATTCTCGCTCAATCCTAGAGAAACCACCTAGGAATTTTCTGGTGCACAATACTCATTTCGACTCCGTGAATTATTAAATGAGGGGCACCTGGGTGGCTCAGTTGGTTAAGCAATCATGACCTTCAGCTCAGGTCATGATCTCAGGGTCCTGGGATTGAGCTCCCTGCTCAGTGGGGAGTCTGCTTCTCCCTCTCTTTATGACTGCCACCCCCCTACTTGTGCGCTCTCTAATAAATAAATTCTTAATAAAGTAAAAAATAAAATGAAATGAAATGAATCCTATTTACCTTAACCTAACAGGAGCCAGAGTGATTCTTCTTTTTTTTTTTTCCTGGCTTGACGTATTTCGTTTTTTGCTTCTTCCTAACAGAGCAAAATGGTCCAAACTACATAGTACCAGAAGGAGGAGCTCTTGTATTAAAACTGAGAAATATCAGACCCACAGAAGGGCTCTTCTGGAACCCTGGCACCGGTGAAGGAAACACTTAGCTCAGACCCAAACTAGCAGTTTGCTCCGGTTTCTTAAATGACAGCAACTAGCTCAGAATCCTCCCAATATTCTGTTTGTTCTCCTAAAGAACCGTATCTCACTCTTGTAACTGGTACTAGAGTGTAAGCACACGACGACGAACAAGGCCTCGGCAACACGAGGAAGCGTGCACATCCCAAGTGTAGAGCTCTAACAGGTCAGCTGGGCCATCTACACTGTCAGTCGCAAAGGGTGCAGCCATGTAACATGTTCCTGGTGAGCAGCAGTACATGGGGATATGAGGACGAATGAAAAATGCTGGACTGTTCTGAGGAAACCCAAATCCATGCATTTTTAACCAAAATGGCAAATATGAAACGTAACAACTTCTAGCAAATACCTTAATTCGTGAACCAGGTGTGCCATAATTCTCGATCCAGATCCTCCCAGGGGATGACCCAGAGCGATGGCTCCACCATTCACGTTGGTCTTACTTGGGTCAAGACCCAAACTCTTCTCGACTGCTAAGTACTGAGGAGCAAAAGCTTCATTCACCTAAACATAATCAAAACACAGATAAAAATCCTCGCTCATAAGTTGATTTTTAACCGAGAATGTCCAGTCCTACTGATGACTAATTATGCTTTTTTTTTCTATTTAAACTACCTTTTATCTTCAACCACTCTTTGTAAAGATAATCAGGTTTGAAAATGGGTGTAATTTACTAACCGATACTTCAAGTCAACTGCACCCCTTGGAGAGAAACCCTCAGCGATGTTGTAAATGGATACCTAGTAGAGGCAGTGGGAGATGGCCCACAGGTTCCGGAGCTAGAGGGATGGCTCAAATCTTGGCTGTGTGCATGTTCTTTAAGCTCTCGACACCTGAGGTTCCTTCAACAGTAAAATGTAACTGTAGTACACCCTAGGAGTTACTGTCAAGGTTAAATGAAATCATGAGTATTAAGTGTCTGGTGTTATTACCTGACACATACCAACCACTCAGGAGATGGTTTCTCCTATTATTTTTATTACTACCCAGTACTACTAGCCATTCTTCTAAGAATAAACTGACACACAACCGAGGATAAACCTGCAGAGCCAGATACATAGAGGAACTGTTACTGTGTTGAAATCTAGCAGATCTGAGATCGGATCATATTGTATTTACTTAGCAAGGTTGGCTATGAGAATTACCTTCCTTCAGGTTCATAGCACTATAGTTTTATATGATCTTAGAAAATTTTATAGGTAAAAAATCCCGATTTTAAGAAAGGTAACTTTTACAGAGTCGCAATCAAAATCTAGCCTTGTGTTCTTTTCTACTGTATTTTGTGCTTTTCCAAGATGGTGTTTTGTTTGTCCTTGGGTCCTGCATTATTTTTCCATTTTATATGGTCATGTTTAAGGTGGTACTAAGGGAAGTGGAATATGAACTAGCGAAACTAGGTTTCTGAGCCAAGGTAAAACTACCATGATCATCAAAAGTCCCAAAGACAATCCTATCAAGGTACCGAGAGCTATGTCCTTGAGCACATACACATCTATAAATGATTATCAACAGCTTCGCAGAGCTGACATATTTAAACAAAGTTTTAAGTGTGAAATCTAGAGTCAGTAATCCAGGAATATTATTTGCAAATATGATAATTAAGCAGCCCCCTTGAAGCTTTAAGAATGGAAGAAGAGATTTAAGGATAAGCTGTTTGTCTAAAACCCTGGTTTCCTGGATGAGAGACGATCACACCTGTGCCGAGTGACAAGCCCCCTTCTCTACCAATTTAGAGAGATTTCCTTTGTTATGATAGTTATTTCCCAATGTCAAGTAGCAAAGATGTTCAATTACCTAAAATTTTCAAATAGTCCCCAGATGTAAAATGTATATAATCCAGCTTTATTTTCTTTTCCACTCTTCCTTTTAATTGTGCTAAGCGCTTAAGATACCTTTGCTCAAAATGAACATTTAAAAAAAAAAAAAAAAAAAAATCAGGGGCGCCTGAGTGGCTCAGTGGGTTAAGCCTCTGCCTTTAGCTCAGGTCATGATCTCAGGGTCCTCAAATCGAGCCCCACATTGGGCTCTCTCCTCAGCGAGAGCCTGCTTTCCCCTCTGCCTACTTATGATCTCTGCCTGTCAAATAAATAAATAAACTCTTTAAAAAAAAAAATCACCATACTTTTTTCTATGCCAAAAATTATCACACCCCAAATCTAGGCACAACTATGGTGTAAAATACAAAGGTAAGACTGGGGGATGGAGAGTTTTAACTTGGTGAGAAGGCAAGAAACCAAGAAACTTCTAGATTTGGCACCAGATATTAATTTTTCTATTATGCCAATTCTTTTGCTTACATATTTTTTCATTTTAATGCATCAAAGGTCGAAGTTATTCTCACCCACCTTATAGAATATTCAATTCAACAAACACACTGGTAGTCTAAAATGAAATATTCCTGTAAGGTCCTAAGACGTTTCCAGGAATTCATATCTTAGTAGGAGAAATCAGGCTATTTTAATTATTCGAATATACATATTTTAATCAGGTAGAGAGAAAAGTACCCATCCAAAGCACGTAGCGGAAGTAATACTTAGTCACATGTCATCCGGAGAGGCTAATAGCACGGAAACAAAAAAAGCTATAAAATAACAAATTAAAGCCATTCATGCTATACATGTTAGTAGCTTATTCATGTAAAACAGTCTTAACACTTACCTCTACCAAATCCATGTCCTTAAGACTCCGTCCTATTTTCTTCAGTGCTCCGTTGATAGCAGGGATGGGACCTATATAAGAACAAAATCAGTTCCATCTTATGTGGCAGTTATTAGTAGCCACAAATCTTACCTTAGCACATTATGCAATGATGGGACCATAAAAAACCAGAAAACAGAACCAAAGTGAAAAGCTGGTTGTGCAAAAGTGCAAATGAGAGGCTCACGTGGAGATTTCTGCCAGAAACAGCTTTAAGAGCTCACAGGCAGGGGCACCTGGGTGGCTCAGTTGGTTAAGTGTCTGCCTTCGGCTCCGGTCATGATCCCAGGGTCCTGCGATCGAGTCCTGCACTGGGTTCCCTGCTCAGCAGAGAGCCTTCTTCTCTCTTTCCCTCTGCCTGCCACTCTGCTTACTTGTGCTCTCTCTCTGTCAAATAAATAAATAAAAAAAAAAAAAAAAAAAAAAAAAGAGTTCAGACAGCCAAAGGAGTCCTCTATGGGGTTCTGCAGTCATTGACAGATTGTGCCTCCTACCGAAGGTCAAGGCAGACTGAGTGCTCTCCTGGGTCACAAGTAATATGCATTCCCAGGAGAGAATGACTGTGGCCACTCTGAATTTTTCAGGTCCATCTGGACAGAAGACAAGAAACGGCAGCTGTATCTCCACATGGGCACAAGACAGGAAACCACAAGGCACTTCAAGGAAAAGATACCTGAAGCAAAGAAGCGTTTCTATTGCCAGTGGTAGGCAGAGATTTTAAACAAAACCAAACCCCCATGGCAGAAACGCAAATCTACCTAGTAAGACTTCTGAAACTTTAGCTCTCAGATTACTGACGATCACCAATGACAGTTTAATGCTGCTCAAGATTTTCAAGTTATACTGATATTTTCTCCCGAAAGGTAAAAAAGCTGGCTGAAGAAGATTATCTACTTCACTATTCTCAGAGAATGGAATGGCCATGTCTAAAAAAATTTGGGCGTTATGTTCTATTGAGTTTAAGTAGTCAGATATTCTGCAACAAGTGTCATACATATGCCTAAGGTAATATGGGAAATCGGTCTTCACAAGAAAAGCATGATGCAATCCAAACACAGTGTACTTTGTTTTGTCACCTAGTTAAAATGTTCCTTGGACAGCCGTCTGCTTACCAGTGAAGGGCATCCGGTTAGCGCTTTTCAATCTGGCTACTGATTTAACATAAAACCTAGTTCTAGATTCTCTTTGAATGTCTAAGGCACAAAAATAGGACAGTCAACAGCGGAGCCAGCAGTTAGCCAGCATGGCCGGGGATAAAGTACTCTACAGGGGTCAGAGACACACGGAACCAAAAGCTGAGGGTCTAACTCCGCTCTACACACCTCCTTGTCTTCATCTCCACAGTAAGCGTGACTCAGTGCATTCTTATTAACTCAGAATCATTACAGTCAATTGTTAAAAATATGCGGGGTCAGAGTCTGAGTTTTAAAGGACTGTTCCCGTAACACTGTTACTGGACTTCACAGGGACCCAGAAAGTTGTAATAATCTTGTTGGGAAAAGGGGACCTCATTTCTAGTCCTGCCACTAATAGCTATGTGACGCTGAGCACCTCTTTTGGGCTGTAAGCTTTCTCATCACAAGTGCTCTGAACTGGTTTTTAACCTTCTTTTTAACCACTGGAATCCTCTCTACAAATGAAGCCCAGTAAAAGAATAAACCAGAGCTGCTATACCTGCAGAGGTTCAAGGCTTCCCCCACCACTGCTGCCACTGGGGAGTTCCAGGGAACACGGACTGTCTTTCCGTATGTGTCCTTCCTGGGAGCCACTGCGAGTCCCAAGTCCCCGCTTTCCTCCCTTTTCTGGGTCAGCAGCTTCTCTGGCAAGGCTAAGGATTGCTTGATGTTGGATAACTACATAACCGAGGGCACTATTCTTAGAAATTGGAGTGATGAATCAATCCTCACCACTCAAAATCCACTCTCCGTTGTTTATTCATTTGGGGCAATCCGTGTAGTCACCAAAATCCCATACAACAACCGACAGACAGCTGTCTAGTGAAGGGACATCTGACACTGGGGCATTTGGTGTTTATGGCTCTGCTCAAGCCCTAAGGGAAAAAAGCAATCCTTCCACAATGGTATTCACTGTACTGCAGGGCCAGCATCCAGACCCTGGAACAGAAGAAAGGAAAACTACATTTTCTTCTTTTTTTTTCCTCTTTTTTAGATTAATATCTATCGAACAGAGACACAGCGAGAGAGGAACGCAAGCAGGAGGGGTGAGAGAGGGAGAAGCAGGCTTCCCTCTGAGCAGGGAGCCGGATGTGGGCTTCGACCCCAGGACCCCGGGATCATGACCTGAGCCGAAGGTAGACGCTTCATGACTGAGCCACCCATGCACCCTGGGAAAACGACATTTTCTTCACTACGTTAATGTACCAGAACCTATTCAGTGATATTAAACTGAAAAGAACTATAAAATAACTACTTACCTATATCAAATAAATTTGATTGATCATCAAGACGAGCCAGGTACACTTAAACCCCATACTCCCCAGGCTCCACCCTGGAACTACTGAAACAAAATCTTTTGGGGTGGGGTTATGGGGTCATGGGGAGATTTCGATGATCATCTGGGGTCTGGGAAACCACTGTTCCAGACGCTGAAGGGACAAATACCATACTGCTCAAAGCTACTTTCCGTCTCTGAAACAACAGCAGTGTTTGGGTGAAAGCAAGGAGCTAAAAGCTAATTAAGCTTTTAAGCCTGAAACAGAGAAAAAACTGACTTTTAACAGATGGTCACAGAGCTTATGGTGTTGGTTAAAGTAATCTGAAACACAGTGAAAGTGACAAAATATGGACAGATACAGTTGGGTATTTACTATGTCCCCAGTGAGCACAAATGCTATTACTTGAGAAGAACTTTGAGGGACAGACCGAAGGATCTCTGAGAACACAGGTCAGCAACAGGTCGTCCCCCTTCTACTCTGGATCCTGCTTCAAAATCCAATTTAGTTGGAAAAGGCCTAACTGCACTCACAGAAAAACCCCTGGACCCATCGAGAATCTGAATCTAGCCCCAGAGTAGCCTTTTCTTTGGGGTATGAGGGTACAGACGGGATAGGACAAAGCCTCCAGCACTAGTATTTTTTAAGTGAGGCGCCTCATCAATTCTGTTTCTTGGAGAATGAGGACAGACATTACTAAAATTCAGCACATCTGAGGTTCCTAGGAGCACATCCAGCAAAAAGCTGTTTCTTTTCCTAATTCGTATCTTTCAAGCCAAAAAGAGCATACAGCTGGCCCTTAAACAGCACAAGTTTGAATGGAGCAGGTCCACTTACGTGCAGATGTGGTCAATACAGTACAGTACGATGAATATATTTGCGTACAGTTTTCTTAAGAACATTTCCTTTCCTCTAGTTTACCGTGAGAACACAGTGCGTACTCCATGTAACACACAAAGTGTGTGTTAAAAGCTTATGTTACGGGTCAGACTTCCGGGCAACAGGAGGCTCTTAGTGGTTACGTTTCATGGGAAGCAACAGTTGTACTTGGACTCCGGCTGTGTGACAGTTGGCACCCCTCGTCCCCACGTTGTTCAAGGGTCAACTATACACACTTGTAGGGAGCTCTCCTGCTCATCTCTGCCAAACTGAGATCCACTGGAATCCTTCATTTTCCTATTAAGTGGCAGCTGAGCCAGGTGGGCGTGACTCTGACTTCCGGGATAGCACAGAGGGAAGAGCACTTGAATTAAGAGAGGCCTGGTTCCCATCCTGGCTCCATCACTTACCCGTCTGGAACTTGACAAGATAACCTCCCTAAACCTCCATTTTCTCCCTCACAAAGGGGTTGTGGGAAGAGGAAATGAGACACACCAGTGGCCGCATGCAGAACACCCAGCGTTCAGCCATCTCTGTTTGGCCCCAGGATCTCTCCTTGCCTCTTGTCTCCTGTAGTCAGCACCTTGTAATTCTTCTGTTATACGCCGGGAGCCAGTCTTAAATACAGACAGTGAGATGTGATTACTGCCCAGGAGCAGTCTTGGTTTTCCTACTGGGCCCGGCACAGGTTTTCTAGATTTGTTTAAATGACTGATGACCAATCTCCTTTTCTCCACAAGTGACCTTGATCTGGCTACTGTTTCAAGTATCTGAATGCCAAAGACAACTTCTCTCCAGAAACATACACTACAAACTTACCAATACCCATGATGGAGGGATCACATCCAGACACGAAATAGCCCACAATTCTTGCCAGTGGTGTGAAGTTATGTTTTTTAACAGCATCTTCACTAGCTATGATAACAGCTCCAGCACCATCGGATACCCCCTGGGAAACAAAAACAGGAACACTGACTAGAGGGCAGAAGGACCCAGTTAATCAAGGTTTGAACTAATGCGGTAGTGTTAAGATTGTGGTACTATGTAAGAAACAGCATCACAATCTGGGCTACGATGAGGGCTCGCAGTGCTCCAGGAACTGTTTTAGGCAGAGAATCCAACCTCACCAAGGGAAAACAGGAAACAATGTCCAGATATGGGGAGATGTAAGAAATCTGTTGAGTTGTATACATCAGAAAACCAACAAACCAACAAACCCAGGAAAATTGGAATAATAACCAAGCAGATTTCCTTCTACAGTCCTTCTAATATTTTGAAAAGACTAAGAAACTGGAAGAGTATTATATGCGATTAAAGTATTTTGTTTGGGACTATGAAACCCCCAATTAACTGAATATGAACGCTGCCAGTTGAAGGCAAACAGCTGAAGACTAGCGCGAGAAGTCTCCAAAAGACCCCACAGGACTACTTTGCACTGAACACGGCAGCAAGAGTCCAAGGTGAGCTGCGGCGTCACCTACCGAGGCGTTGCCCGCGGTCACGGTTCCCTCCTTCTTGAATACTGGGGGGAGTTTAGTTAACTGCTCCAGGGTCGTCTGGGGCCGGGCGTGCTCGTCTACCTGCATTGTCTGTTTCCCCTTCTTTGTTTTCACCTCAATGGGTGCCATCTCATTATTAAAGTAGCCAGCATCGTTAGCTGAAAGAGGAGACCATTGTGAGAATGGGAGAAAAAGAAGATACAAGAAACGAAATCAAACACATCCTTCAGTTTCGGCTCTACCCTTTCCTCGCAGCCTACTTTTAACATAAGCCTCTGTTACAGGCACAACTTACGCTGCCTCTCGAAGGACTTAATACACTGCCATCAATCTATGCAAATGCATTTTGCCTCCTTTTAAAATTGTAATTTTGATCTTTTTTACTGTAATTTTTCTTTTTTTAACCAGGTATCACTAGACTATTAGTAGTCCTTGTCTGTTAGCTACAGATAGAATAGCACTAAGTAAACTTAATGTCTCATTTAAACTGCTCTGGGTGAGGTAAGAAGTAAATTGAAAAGTCACCAGGTCGTACAACAATAACGTATTGTACACTTAAAAAAATCTGTGGGGCACCTGGGTGGCTCAGTGGGTTAAAGCCTCTGCCTTCAGCTCAGGTCATGATCCCGGGGTCCTGGGATCAAGCCCCACATCGGGCTCTCTGCTCAGCAGGGAGCCTGCTTTCCCGCCCCCTCTCTGCCTGCCTGTCTGCCTACTTGGGATCCCTCTCTCTGTCTGTGTCAAATAAATAAATAAAATCTTAAAAAAAAAAAAAAAATTTGTTAAGGGGGTAGAGTTTATTTTAAGTGTCTTTACCACAGTAAGAGAAAAGAAGTTGTCTCCAAAAGAAGTTACCGATCTAGGTTACCAAGTAATCTATGACTGAAATTTAATGACAAGCAACCCGAAGAAATTCTACGAGTGATTACCGACACAGTTGTGAGTGAAACAGCTGACCTGCTTCCACCTCCATTGACTACAATGGACCGCAGTAATCTACAGCTTCCAGAAACAGAATACGCCAGGAGTGAGACCACCTTCCTTCTGATAGCCCTTTACAAGGGCAGGCTACACACTTCTCTTGTTTGGTTTTCACAACTCTTATCTCAATTGTACAGATGCCTAGTGAAAAAATGACTTGGTAGAGGTTGGTTAACTTGTATGAGGCCAAGGTAGAAACAGAGCTGATGACTCCTGGCCTCTGGACCAGCATGCTCCCACTTTAATGTGTAAGAAAAACACAGAGAAGAATGAGCTGGCTGGCATCGGCTCCATCCCACTTCTCCCTCTGAAATGCTAAGACGGACTTCATTCTCACTACTCCGAGTACTTAACGCCCCTGAAGAAGAGTTGCTGCTCATTTATAATAGTTTAATTTAAAAAATCTTTTTCAAGAGACTAACAAATGTCTTCAACTCACCATACTGTCATGTTGCCCACTTTGGACCGGTCTGACAGTAGTGAGAAGTGTTACACCAAGGGCAGCAGAGCTCTGGCCACAGAGAGTTCTGAGTCTTCGAGTCAGCGCGCAACGATTCTCAATTAGGAATGGGAGGAGGAAGGCGCACAATGGGTCCTTTCCAAATATACCATCCCTTCCTCGTGAACAGGGTATGCCTCACAGAGGAGAACACCCTCTCTGGGCCAGCAGCTTCCGGGAGCCATCGTCTCTCACAGAGTATCAAAGCCCTCGCAGCAGAGTGCTCTACGTGTTCTACTGACATCAGAACCACTGAGGACAAAATTCAAGTTGGCCAGATAAGGTCAATTAGCAATGCCACTTTTTAGGTAGCATTTCTATATTTCAAAAGAGAAACTCCTGGTTAATTTTGCAATCATTCACAGAATATCTACTCATCTAAACATAAAGGAATGATGAAAAAAAGTGATTTTCAAAAGGTACAATTTTAAATAAATATTATTATATGACCATTATAATCCAAAAATGACCAAAATCTTCTCTATTTTTTTAAACCCAGGTATAACTGACATACAATGTTATATTTGTTTCAGGTATACAACCTAACCATTTGGTATTTGTGTATGCAGGACTGCACACTGATCACTGCTCTAAATCTAGTTAACATCTGTCCCCATACATAGCTGCACCAATTTTTTTTTCTTGTGACAAGAACCTTGAAGACCTACTCTACTAGCAACTTCACGCATGCGCTCTACACTGTTATTAACTACGGTCACCATGCTGTATGTTACATCCCCGGGACTTACTTTATTTTATAACCTTTGACTCCCTCCGCCCATTTCACCCACCCACCCAAGTTTTCTTCTGTTGACACTTCTAACATGCATCTCACTGACCAGCTTTCCACCTCTGCTGGGACTGCAGGGCGTACTTGTCGCAGTCTTCTCTGCTTATGTTATGTTTTGCAGCAAGATTCTCTGCGGTGATCCCCATGGGGAGCCGGATGTGCTCATCTGTTAATCCTGACCACAAAGCATCTTCCAGCTATTGAAAGACATGAATAGTAAGGTGATTTGTTAAAGTGTATCTTTTGAAAGTAATATGCTGTAATATCTTTACATTTAATTAATTGTCCCAATAAATGAAAGTAAAATTACGTTTTCTGATTATTATTATTACTATTATTATTATTATTATTCATCTTTGGTTCTGGGACATTTTAAAAAACACGCAATGCCATAATCAAATGCATGCATCCTCACTGTTCAGGGAGGGGACACAGGAGATCATCCTACAATCAAAAACGAAACCGCCGGGGTACCTGGGTGGCTCAGTTGCTAAGCGTCTGCCTTTGGCTCAGGTCATGATCCTGGAGTCATGGGATCGAGCCCCACGTCAGGCTCCCTGTTCAGCAGAGTCTGCCTCTCCCTCTCTCACCCTCCCTCTGTAAACTCTCTCACAAATAAATAAATAAATAACATCTTTAAAAAGAAAAAAGGGGCACCTGGGTGGCTCAGTGGGTTAAAGCCTCTGCCTTTGGCTCAGGTCATGATCCCAGAGTCCTGGGATCGAGCCCCGAATCAGGCTCTCTGCTTAGCAGGGAGCCTGCTTCCTCCTCTCTCTCTCCTTCTGCCTGCCTCTCTGCCTAGTTGTGATCTCTGTCTGTCAAATAAATAAGTAAAATCTTTAAAAAAAAAAAAAGAAAGAAACCCTCAAGGCTACGTTTTTAAGAAACCTAACACGGGGTCCTCATGCAATGTTTCCCTGTAGCCACCTGTGACCCACGATTCTGCGCTCTGCAGGAGTGTGCCTGAGCTCCTTCAGTGACAGGAACAGCTGGTTCTGTCAGCTACTGGGAGGTGGAAAACCACACACAGGTTCCTTGAGGAACAGAAAAGTTACTTATTATCCAGTGGGTCAGTCTCTGATAAGGGTGCCCCCTTGTATCTTCTCCACTGCCCCTCATCATCTTTGAGTCACTGAACTGTCTTTCCAAAGGTTTTCTTAATACTTGGTGTCTAAAATACTATTTCATATTTTCTAGGTCTTATTCTTTCCAACTTTCAAAAAGGCCAGGGGATGAACTAGATGAAGTGTGAACCAATCATTGCTGTTGGAAAATGCTAGCAACAGAGAATGTCATTAGCCCTTTCCCATGGGAGAGACCGCACACTAGTGCCCGCTGTCAGTACTGCCACTCCAGCGCCAGAGCTCTCAAAGGTGCGAGATCAGTTTTTGTCTGACTGACTCAGGACAATATCATCTCTATTCAAAGAGAATCTTTAAAAAACAAAATTTAAAGAGCAAAATAAAATAAAAAAATCAATAAAACAAAGAGAAGGTTTTCTGTGAAGAAGATACCTATTCAATGGACACTGCTCCAGGAAGAAAACTTCCATAAATCATGGTAAAGATTTAATTACTGGGTTTACCATTTATTCAGTAGAGAAATTAATTACTTCAACCTCTGCCTATCTTTTTGATCTGCCTCCTCCTTTCCTCTGCCTCCCCAGTGTATTAATTCCATGATCAGAGGAGTGGTGAGGTAAAGTCTATGTGGATTTTTTTTTTTTTTTTAATTTATTTGACAGATCACGAGTAGGCAGAGAGGCAGGCAGAGAGAGAGGAGGAGGCAGGCTCCCCGCTGAGCAGAGAGCCCGATGCGGGACTTGATCCCAGGACCCTGAGATCATGACCTGAGCTGAAGGCAGAGGCTTCAACCACTGAGCCACCCAGGCGCCCCTATGTGGATTTTTTAAATGCCGGTTAAGATGTCAAAACTAAAACCAGACTGGGGTTTTGAAATAGTTTACAAATTTCAAGTCATTTTTGTATTTTGTCAATCCCCTATTAACGAAATTGGTTTCAAAATCTGTTTTCTCTCCCAAAATGGTGTGATTAAAATTATTAGCATAGGGGCGCCTGGGTGGCTCAGTCGTTAAGCAGCTGCCTTTGGCTCAGGTCATAATCCCAGGGTCCTGGGATCGAGTCCTGCATCGGACTCCAGGCTTAGTGGGAAGCCTGCTTCTCCCTCTCCCACTCCCTGCTTGTGTTCCCTCCCTCACTATCTCTCTGTCGAATAAATAAAAAAGAATTTAAAAATATATATTAGCATAAATGCATGACAAATAATTTTTAAACATTTGAATGGTTCCAACCTTGGGATCTGATCCAAACTTGGTTCCAAAGCGTATGTTTCTGACACAGTAGGGAGACTGGCTCATGCTTTCAACTCCTCCACATAAGACAACTTCGGCCTCTTTAACACAAATTTCCTATTGGAAAACAAATGCGCAGCAGTAACAAAAAAACTTTTACTGTGACAGAGGTTTGTATTAAGCAGTAAACTAACAGTAAATGTAATGATTTACAGTCTCAAAAGGAAATACTTGTCAAGTCATGGTAAAGCACATGCCACAGCACCCATCCCCAAGACACAAGGGGAGAAAAACCTAACAGACTTCAATTGTGTGTGCGCAAGTGACAAATTCTACCTATGTTTTGGCAAGGAATGATAATTCTTACCCTCGAAATAAATCTTGAAAATCAGCAGAGATATTAATGCCTGGCATAATATATAGATTATCAGCTGAAGATAAAGAATAAATCCTTTAAAAAAGCAGAAGAAGAATTTATCCCATTAATGCAGGAGTCTGATGCAAGTAACAGACCACACACAAGAACTGAGTTAACTGAGGAGGATCGGAAAAGGAAACCCATTTCTTCCTTCTAACACCTCCCACTATTTGCATTTCTCAGAAAAGAAGCAAGGAACAAGCCCACAGAGCCAGTGTTCACAGTGACTGCTAAGAGAATCAGGACCACTGTTTCAGATACATTGTTACAGAAATAAATTAACATGAAAATTATTCATCACAATATGTCCATGTCCTTCATTCTGTAAAAAAAATGAAGATCTGGACAAATAAAATTGGATTTCACTGTATCCCTTTTCCCTGTGCTCACGGATCAAATGTATTTGTCCAAGTACCCATCCCTTAAAAAGGAATGCATTTCTGACCATCCCCTAAACCCTCCAACTTTCTTCCTAGCCTTATAGTCTTTATTCCGTGTTTCACAGGCCTGCGTTCAAGTTCATGTCTCTGTAACTTAGTCACCTTACTGATCAGTTTCCTTGTCTGTTAAATGGGAATAGTGATAGTTACCATCTTACCGGATGGTTGTGAAGACTAAGTGAGATACTGAATGTAAATCTAGCATAGGTCAGGCACACAGGAAGCACTCGATAAAAGTGAGAGTCATGATTAGCTTTAAAAAAAAACTGTGATAAAATATACCTAACTTCAAATTTACCATTGTAACCAATTTTAAGCGTACATTCAATAGGTGCATTCACAGTGTTGTCTGACCAACCACCATCACTCATCTCCAGACGTCTTTTCGGTTCTGCAGGCTGAACTCGGTACCCATTAAACATGAACTCCTCCTTTTCTCCTCCCCCAGCCCCAGCAACCACCACCCTCCTTTCTGTCTCTATGAATCTGACTACTCATGTGAGGGAGATCGTACAGTATTTGTCCTTTTGTGGCTCATTTATTCCACTTAGCATGTCTTCAAAGATCCGTGAGCAACTTTTAAGGAACTGTGGATTCTTGTATTCCTGTGTACTTTTCCAAGAAAAACCAAATACTGACCTTTCCTAACGAAGCACTATAAAGTAAAAGCCTACGGTGTTCTACTGAAGTGGGGCATTTTCTCCAACAGCTTTTAGCGTATTTTCAGAGAAGTAATAAAACGTTCCCATACCTGACATCCACTCACAATGGACTGGAAACCAGAGCCACAGAGTCTGTTAACAGTGAGAGCTGGGACCTCTTTTGGGACTCCCACCCGCAAACCAACGTGCCGGGCCAAATATGCAGCATCTGAAGAACTCTGGAACAGAGGGAGAAGACAAAGAATGTCCTCTATAAATCTTGGCAAAAAAGAGGACAAAATACACGGAAATGTTCGCAATCTATCAAAAATAATGAACTACATGGCTCTAAGGTAGGACACAATGTATATAGGTATAGCATGTATTTTATGTAATACATGTGTTTATTATTTGAATAAAAACTACAATTTGGTCTGCTGGTTTTTAAACACACAAAGTCCGAGAAATCCTTATATTACTATAGTTAAAATAATTCTTGTATTAATAGAAGATAGAAATTTGTAACAATTAGAACGGTTTAAAAATAAAATGGACTATCTTAAAATAGTATGTTCCTTAAAAGAGAAAGTATCCGGGGTGCCTGGGTGGCTCAGTGGTTAAGCCTCTGCCTTCAGCTCAGGTCACAATCTCAGAGTCCTCGGAGCCCCGTGTCAGGCTCTCTGCTCAGCATGGAGCCTGCTTCCTCGTCTCTCTCTGCCTGCCTCTCTGCCTACTTGTGATCTCTGTCAAATAAATAAATACAATCTTTAAAAAAAAAAAGAGAGAGAGAGAGAGAAAGTATCCGAAGCTGTAATTTTCAACTTTTGTTGCATACCGGAAAACCAGGACAGCTTGACATACGAATGCTGAGCGTAACCAAACCAATGAAATTGGAAAAGCACAGGCAAGGCAAGGCTATCAGTAGACACTTTTAAAAGCACCCAGGGAGAGGCGCCTGGGTGGCTCAGTGGGTTAAGCCTCTACCTTCGGCTCCCATCATGATTTCAGGGTCCTGGGATCCAGCCCTGCCTCGGGCTCTCTGCTCAGGGGAGAGCCTGCTTCCCCCTCCCTCTCTGCCTGCCTCTCTGCCTACTTGTGATCTCTCTCTGTGTCAAATAAATAAATAAAATCTTAAAAAAAAAAAAAAATAAAAGCACCCAGGGGATAATGTGAAACTGAGGCTGAGACCTGTTGACCTAGGGAGGGGAGAGTTAAACAAGGACCCCAGGTTCCAAAGCAACAGCACTGGCCTGGCTCTGGGGTCCAAGAAGAGCAGTGATGGCAGGTGGTCTGCTACAGACTTACCAGCTGGTTACAATCTGCACTTTAGTGTTTTTATAGGTTTCCTACCCTATAACCCCAACCTGTGTATTTGTTCTGTGGTTTTGGTCTCCTGTTTATTTATTTGTTCTTTTTTAAGATTTTATTTATTTTGAGAGAGCGCACAGAGGGAGATGAAGACTCACGGCTCGAGGAGAGCCTGATACAGGGCTCCATCCAGGACCCTGGGATCATGACCTGAGCTAAAGGCAGACGCTTAACCCACTGGGCCACCCGGGTGCCCTTGGTCTCCTGTTTAATGGCACACAAGTAATACTACCAGGTAACCAGAACCAGGTGTCAATGTGTTGAGACTTTTTACTGTGTTTAGCATGATAAGAAAATTGTGAAAAACAAAAAACACAACACACATCCAAAAGATACAGTGGCATAAAATGCAGAGCTGGAAGTGGACTCCCAAGGAGTCAGACTTGGCGTGGGAGTGAGTGTGTAACAAGCTTCTCACGCCTGCATGGATGCAGTGCTCTCAGCCTTCGGGAAAAACCTGGTGGACTGGGTTCAGCCTAGTGTGGCAGATAGATCGTAAAGGACAGAGTAGTAAATTGATACCATACACAGCAGAGCTAGCTCTGTCTGTATAAACAGAGAAATGGGCTTAGCCACAGAGGTTTAAACCATCTGGTTGTCCCATGCAGTAACACAAACCAGGGCTTGGATGCACAGTTGTATCTCATGTTTTATGGTCTCCCAGCCTTTCCATCCTAGGCACTTTTGGACAAATCTTTGTCCTCGTTCAAGGCTTTGTTTTGGGTTTTGTGGGTATTTGCTACCTTGCATCCCTCAGCTTTGCAGGTAGACAGTTGTGATTCAAAACTTGTGTTCTACGGTGTTCCTTGTTGAGGAGTAATTGCTTACTTGTGGAGGAATAAGTCATGCTTCCCCACTAAAGGGGGTGTGGGGGTGGTAATGCACAAGGCAAGCCATGCCATAAGCTACTAGAAGAACTTCTTGATGGGAAATTTTAGTTTTGCGTTTTGTTGCTTTACTTCCTAAAATAACTTCGACATGTTCCTCACTGGTCCATCTGATGTGGGAAACAAAGGCAGAAGAAAAAAATATTAAATTTCCTTACTACTTATAGCCCACTGACAAGTCCTTGAAACAGAGTGACAGCCCTCTAGGAACTCAGCTGCCTCGATGTTAATAGTTTCCCAATGGCAAAAGGCAATCTTAGCCCCATGCCCAGGATCCTGTTAAGCCTACTTCAACATATAAAAATTCCTTTTGCCAGGGTTTTCTGTTTTGGGAGTCATTTCCCTTATAATACTCTAATGTCTAGACTGGCAAAATAGGTGTTTTATAAAATCAAGCAGTAGTCTGAGGTTATACAAAGATTATTATTAGGTCAGGAGTCAGATCTGGATTGGAACCTAGACTCTGTCATTCACTAGCAGTGTGAACTTTGGTTTACCTAACTCTTAAGTTCCTCCCATGGGAAGTTATCTGCAAAGGGATTCCTAAGTGCCTTCTTTGTAAATAAGAGTAGAGTAGTTACGATTGAGTTGTTAAATTCTAGCCCAACTGACTGAATAAAGATAGTTTACGGAGATCTCGCTGACGGCATACATACTTACTAGTATGGATATTTTGAATGTGGTCCTACCTCATGCTTAGAAACCAGGTATCTTCTACTTTGGCCACTGTATTCCAGAAAGTAACTGATAACTTTTCCTTTTTTTTTTTTTTTTTTTTTTAATTTTTGGTTACATATTCTCTAAGTGCTCCCATGAAATGACTCTACATCCCTTTTAACACCAAAATTTGTGGGAAGAGCTTAGTACAGGTGGAAGAATATTGAACCAGAAGTCAGGAGCATTCCAGCCCAGGACTGTTACAGATCACCCCTCCGCAACTCTGCAACTTCCCTGGAGGTTTCCACATGTGTTAAGAGAGGCCTGGAGTTCTATAAAATCTCTAGGGTTTCTTCTGGCTTTTTAATATTCCATAAATCTTACTTGGAACTTAACCTTTTTTAAAAAGTTCCCATTCCTGTTTTATTTTTCAACTGAGGTATAACTGACATAAAACATATTAGTTTCAAGTGTACCATGTAATGACTCAGTATTTGTACAGACTGCAAATTATCACAATTAAGTCTAGTTAACATCTGTCATCATATATATGATGAGAGAGCAGAAGGCTAGCTGAAGACGAGACATAAGCTGACACAGGGCAACCTCCCCCTACCCCCCACTTTGGGGTGGGACATGTGTGACATTCTTCCAGGAATCTCCCAATTATGTTAACATTAATGCCTTGCCAGAGGGAAAAACCACCTTAACTTGACAATGGCAAGGCCTCAGGTATCCTCTATCTTTATAGGTGGGTCTTCTTTAACATGAAAACCCTTTTGAAACTTTCCTTTTCCTTACTTTCTCCAACTTCGCTTATATAATAACCATTCCTCAAGACTCTGCCCACAGGTCCTGTCCCAGGGCTTTCATAAAACCACCATTTTGCGCTGAAGACGTCAAGACTTCTTTCTTGGTTGCAGACTCTGGACCTCACCCCACCAAAGCTCACCTGTATCCCAAAACCACATTATATAGTTAAACAAAAAAATTTCTTTGAGGACTGATGTGAGAGGCTGGGAGCGAATGGTCAGAATTCTTGAGACACTTCTGGTGCAAAAAGGTACTTTTATTTAAGCACAGGGACAGGACCCAGAGGCAGGAAGAGCTGCACTGGGGTTGTGAGTGACTGATTACATACCTTGTAGTTAGCGGGGGTTTAGGGATAGCGTAAGTCCCTATGGAATTTGGAAGCAGAGCTTATCCAGGACCTTGAGGGGCTGGCTGCTGCTTAGATAAGGTTCTTTACTTCTGTCTAGTAAAACATGAGTCTTGGGACACTTCAGGTGTATGTAAGTGGCCACATGTCTGAAAGATGACTGCTATCTTATCGGCGGAAAGATCAGGAACCAGAACAAAGCTGCAGTGGTAAAGTCCTAACCAGTCCTTGAGGGGGCAGGAGGGGTGTTATAATCCCTACCTCAGGAATTCTGTCTGGAGACTACAGCAGCAGCAAAATGCAGCCTTTGTTCCTGTTTCTCCCATCAAGGACTTTTAATACTTATTAGCATTTTTCAAATGCCCGGTACAGTATTATTAACTATAGTCATCACGCTGTTTCATTACAGCCCCGAGACTGACTGACTTAGAACTGGAAGTTTATACCTTTTTGACCTCCGTAACTCACGTAATTCTTTTCATATATGAAAACCGCTAAGGACAGAATACTTTAGTACCTTTAAAACCTCTCAAAACATCAGTTAGTCGATTCCCCTTATTCGTTGTTTCTATACTCGCGAATTCACCTACGTGTTAAAAATTTATTTGTAGGGGCGCCTGGGTGGCTCAGTGGGTTAAAGCCTCTGCCTTCAGCTCAGGTCATGATCCCGGGGTCCTGGGATCGAGCCCCACATTGGGCTCTCTGCTCTGTGGGGAGCCTGCTTCCATTCCTCTCTCTCTGCCTACTTGTGATCTCTGTCAAATGAATAAATAAAATCTTTAAAAAAAATTTATTTGTAACCCCAAAAGTAATACCTCCAGCACTTCGGTGGTTATTTCCAGATTATGGGCAGGGTGGAGGAACATTGAGAAAATTTAGTCGCCTAAAATAATACACACTTTCCTGGCTGAAGATGAACAAAGGGACACTCAGCCTTCTTGTTTTAGCTCTCATGCTATAAACAAGTGTCCTTTCTGGGCGCCTGAGTGCCTCAGTCCGTTGAGCGTCTGCCTTCCGTTCAGATCATGATCCCAGGGTCCTGGGACTGAGCCTCCTGTGCAGGCTCCCTGCTCAGCAGGAGTCTGCTTCTCTGTCAGCCCCTCCTTCCCTCCTGCTCTTACACTCTCTCTCTGAAGTAAATAAAATCTTAAAAACAAACAAAAACAAATCTCCTTTCTGTGGTCTATTTATTGCAACGTTTTTTGCATTTTTGTGCTTTTTGTTGGAGATTTTGCTGTTCAAAATCGCCGCAGGCATAGTGCCATCGAAGTGCAGTGACTCACACAGCACTGCGGAAGCGCGCTGGGGACCTCACCCGGACCAAAGGAAACCGGGTGTCCAAGAGGTAACTGCTGCCATCAGGGACATCTTACAGCAACACTGCAACAAGTACGAGAGTACCAGTGCCACTCTGTGTGAGAACGTTGTCTCGCTGGATGAACCAGACCCGTGAGCAGCTGTGATTTGGATCGGGGCAGAGATGAGTTACTGGAGAGCTTCCTGGAGGGTTTTCCTGATGAGCCCAGGTGCCGCTCACTCTGCTTACTGCCACAGCGAAGCTGCTTCTCAAGCAACCACCAGAAACACAGGAGCTGCTACAACAGGTCTTGAGTTTGACAACACGGGATTCTGATAAACCTGGCCTTCGAGACCAGGGCTATATTTACCAGCGTCTTCTCTCAACAGACCCTGTCACAGGCAAAGAAGTCGTCTCGTGTGAGAAGCCACTGATGTCTGAGACAGATCTTATTGTGCCAGCTCTGCTGAACCAGCTCATCTGCCACACCGATCTTTGACCTTGGTGTACCATAAGCCTCCCAATGCTTTTGTAGAAGGAAGTCATGCAATCCATCCCAAACACGTGCCAATACATCATGGGAGCACTGATGTAGATGACAGCCTTTGGCACTACCACTGCCATGATCTTGGAACAGCCTCAGGTTATTCCCTCTCAATGTGACCTTCTAGACCTTCTAAACCTTGACCTCAGTCTCCCAGTCAATGTGCTTCAGGTGTCCTCCATACAGATGGGAGCAGCAGATCTCCCTGGAGGAGGACTAGATGGTCCGGTGAGATGGTCTTTCATCCCATCCTCAGGGCCTGTAACCTTCGCTCCTCTACCTACTCCCACTGTGGTCAGCAGTGGTCTGAATGACATGTCAGCACTCTCCATGGGACAGGCATGGGACCTGCTGGCTGGGTGGTTCCTAAGGCTGTCTGGCTGCCTGCAGTAAAAAATAATGGTCTGGAGATTTCCAGGACATTTACTTACTGCCAAGGGCACACCTACGTGGAAATGAACTTCACCAACAATGCTGTGCAGCACATGACAGACTTTGCAATCCAGTTAAACAAGAGGAGCTTGGGGATCATCCCCAGCACGCCTCTGGCCGACCACACACCACAGATGCCAAAGCAGCGTGCGGATGTCTCCCTGCCTCTGAACACCTTAGGTCCTGTCACGAGGATGAACCTCTGAGTAACTGCAGGTGGCTGTGAAAACCAATGTTTGTCTTCTTCAGCTTCTCACCCCACTCAGGGTGCTCTCTGTAGAAGATTTCAAAATGGCGCACCAGGTCTTCCTTGCAAGTGGAAGGCCATTCCCAATGAAAAAGAACTTCAGTTTCAGATTAAGGAATGTCCATTAAATATTGACTTTCCAGCAAACTGCAAAACGCAATATTTATTTCCTTGCCAAGAGGAATGTGGAAGGGGAGGACATGCTGTACCAATCCGTGAAGCTCAATAATGGCATTTGGAGTTTGGCTGAGCTATGTATCCAGCCAGGAAACCCACACGGCACGCTGTCGTGGAAATGCAGAGCTCCCGAGGTCTCCCAGGACGTCTGTGAGGTCTATGGCAGCATTTCTGAAAAGCTAACAGACGGGTCTGGTGCCCTTTGGTCATCCTGTGACTGGTGCAAGCCAAGAACTCTTAACTGGAAGAAATCGTTTTGCCATGTAGACTCTGAACCCAAACACGCTGATGCCACACCCCAAGGTAGTGACTAGTCTAAGCTGTGCTGCCATCAGGGCACAACCTGTTGCATAGTTTTAGCTTCTCATGAACATCTTTAAGCACTGCTTCAATCACTTCCCACCTCTTGTCACATACTGCTGCTACCTGTCCTTACTTGTGAGCTTCACTGTAGTGTGTCGACGGCTGGCATTTTTGAGCGGTTTGGTATTTTGTAACTGAGAGCTCATTTGGAAAGCAGAAAAGGACAAAAAACATTAAAGGAAAAGTGTCACTGAGGAAAAAAATGAACGAAGCCATTCAGACTCCACTGCAAACAAAACTGGTTGTTGCTAGAGGCAAAATCTCTATGAGTCATGGCTCCGGAGCGGAGGTAGGGGGTGGAAATAATTGCACACCCCCGTTCTGGAGCCTTATCCCTGCCTCAAGAGCTGAGCACGTGGTGGAGGTGGTGGCAGCAGCCTCCAGTCTTCTCGGCCTGCCTCTCCTAGTATGGAACAACCACCTTCTGAGCCAGCAGAACAGTGACAAGGTACTTGCCGTGGCAATGCACTCTGCGTGGAGCTTCTGTTAAGCCAAGGAATGGGAGGAAGAAGGGAGCCCCATCTCTTTGGCAATACTTCAAAGGAATATACAGCTTTCATTATCTATGAAATGATGTGATCTATTTTGTAGACCTCAACATAGCAATGTAGAAGGTAAAGGAGTTTCTTATTTCCGTAACAAATACTGACCAAAGTCCTGCTGGTTAAGAAATTATACGGTATGTCTTACACTGACCACGTTTTCTACCCTCCTTAGTTGGTAAACAGAGAGAGCCAACTAACTTTAGATAAGTCAAGGAAATGAATCTGATAGAGAAGCAATGAAATGTAACCCCAATGGGATAGATATAAAGCTTCTGGATTATATGTGGCTTTGATGTATGCCATCACTTCTAGAGTCAAGGATTACTTAAATCATAAATACCTTTAACTATTAACTAGTTCACAGTTCACTATTAAGACATATTAAGTTATCTTCTTAATAACATGAAGCAACAAGAAAGAATACCGACCTCCCTTCTGCCCTACTGACCTGGATGACATTGCCTACAATGACACTGTCAATGGTCTCAGGTGAGACCTTGCCCGCAGACAAAGCAGCCTTGGCAGCAACTTCAGTCAAGTCGGTAGCTGTGAAGTCCTTCAGAAGACCTCCGTACGCTCCAAAAGGGGTTCGCTTAGCGGCAACGATGAACACCCCTGTAAGCAGAGACAGATTCCTCAGTGTCCCGAACATGCTTTAAATAATCTCACTATGAAACCTAGTACTAGGTACTGTTTTCAATTAGAACTTAGACAATTTTTGTCCCAGAACAGTACACGGAACAAGTCCCACTCACAGAAGCAGTCTTTTAAGGAAGGGGTATCAGCTGGAGCAGTACCTACATGCTGGCCCCCAGAACTGCACGTTGCAACGTAAATCCATCCTGGTAGACAACATTCTTGTTCTCCGGTGAGCTACAAAGCTAGAAACATTTGTTTAAAACTAAAATGCTGGGGTGTCTGGGTAGCCCAGTAGGTTAAGCGTCTGTCTCTGCCTTTGATGCAGGTCATACTCTCGGGGATTCCTGGGATCCAGCCCCACACTGGGCTCCGTGCTCAGCAGGGAGCCTGCTTCTCCCTCTCCAGTTCCTGTTCCCCCTTCCCCCAGCTTATAAGCTCTCTCCCTCTCTCTGTCAAATAAATAAAATATTTTAGAAAAAAATAAAAATAAAAATAAATAAATAAATAAAACAAACGCTGGGACAGCTGGGTGGCCCAACTGGTTATGTGTCTGCCTTTGGCTCAGGTCATGATCCCAGGGTCTGGGGATGACATTAAGCTCCCTGCTCATTAGGGAGCTGCTTCTCCCTCTGCCTGCCGCTCCCTCTGCTTGTGCTCTCTAGCTCCAACAAATAAAATCTTAAAAAAAAAAAAAAAACCTACAGGGGCACCTAGGTGGCTCAATGGGTTAAGCCTCTGCCTTTGGCTCAGGTCATGATTTCAGGGTCCTGGGATCGAGCCCCGCATTGGGCTGTCTGCTCAGCAGGGAGCCTGCTTCCCCCCTCTCTCTGCCTGCCTCTCTGCCTACTTGTAATCTCTCTCTCTGTGTCAAATAAGTAAAATAAAAAATCTTTAAAAAATAAAATAAAACAAAAACAAAAACAAAATGCTTCTTCGATGTGCTGAAGTATATTTCCTAGTCACAGACTCAATGAATCTCCAAATTAAAAGTTCTCTTGAGGTTTGAGGCCAACCACTCACCCCACAGAAAATTCCTGACCCAAGAGACAAAAATTCCTCTGCTAGAAAATTTACAGTAAGGCATACTCCACTGTGTGAAGCAGTGTGCCTATGAATGGACAACCTAAAGTATGATTTTTTTCCTCCTATATAGCTAAGCCAGCTTACCCAGTCTTCCATCTACCAGCTTACCCAAATGTATCCCAAGTCAGAAAAACTGTTTCTACAGGGGGGAAAAAAAAAAAAAAAAAAAAAAAAGGAAAGAAAAATTGTTTCTAGAATTGATAATGTTTTGAATGTGAACTACATATGCCTTTAACTTTGGAGCCATAGGATGACTAAAATACAAATTTCAAATAATATGAACCATTCGTTACCTTTTACAAAGTGGACTATCTTTTACACAGACAGCCCCTCCGGATCTAAAGTCAGATAACCTGTAACATCTCCCATCTCTGAAGTAAATAAAAGGCATTCTTACAAAACTTCTTTAACATCATTTCTGGTTGCTTTCTTCTGAAGACATTCTAGTTTGCCAACATCCTGTTAAAACATGTCTCTTAGAATACAACAAGATTTCCTGATTCAACTGTAAGGGCCTACTTAGCCAGAGTGAGCCATTTTATTGTTTATGCAGTAAACTTAGATTGAACCTGCCCCTTCCCCCAAGAGGAAAGCGCTTAGACACAGAATTGGTGAAATACAGCCGAAGAGCCCCCGATAACGGAGTCTAGATTCAAGGACGTGTCCGGCCAGATGGAAACGTCCAATCAAGGGAAAGCGTCCGTATTACCTCCCTACCCGCCAAGGATGTGTTCGGCCAAGTGGAGACATCCAATCAAGTAAAAGCGCACATATTAGCCGCCAGGGAGTGTGAGCCCCCACCTTTTGGGCACCAGACATAGGCGCCAATTCTAGCTAAGGTCATAGGCTGAATTAGATGACTATCATGGGGTAGAATGTAATTCAATTGGCCACCTGTGTGTGGCCAGGCTCAACCACATGGCCTTTACTCTATAAAAGTTAGTCTGTGAGACTGGGAGGGGTCGCCTCTTTGCAAGAGATGGCCCTGGCTGGTCAGTTTGATTCTCGATGCTTGGTGCGAAATAAAGCTTTGCTTGACCTTCGCCTTGTATCAGTCTCATCCTTTTGTCTACGGACCCTTTCACAACCACAAAGAATATAGGGGAAATTATCTATACATATAGTAATGTAAATTAAGAGTATAAAATTATGGTATCACTATTAGTCCAACAGATGTTCATGCAAATAAATAAAAACTGCTCCTAACTGAGGCACTCTACTGCCATCTCCCCCGAAAAAGGCTACAGAAGTCTCTGACAATGGGAGTGATACTCATTAGAGCTGTATGAGGCAAAACTTGCACATCAGGAAGCAGCACCCAATATAGCCCGTTTCATCCCACTAACATTTATTAGGCACCAACTAAGCACTAGACATTTTATCACTTTTCATTATCTCATCTTCCTAAGAATCCCGCAGGTCAAAAGTATGGTGGTGCGTACAGGAGGCACTTAGTATGGGGCAGACCTCATGCCTGGTGCTTTGCATACATAGGCTTCTCCCAAAACAATCTGAGCTCACATTTCCGTGTCCTGCCAAGAAATTATGGGACTTTTAACAATGGGTTTGTGTCAAGATATTAACCTGTAATTGAGACCATACAAACATTATACCATGCTTGGTATTTAAGTACAATTCTCCTGATTATGTTAGTGGAGGCTATCTCTTTTGTGGAGCAAACTCAACCTGTCCTAAAAAAACCCCAAAAAACAAAAACAAAAAAACCTCCCAGAACCAAACCAAACCAAACCAAACCAACTTCAGCTTCTCCTTTCATTCCTACTTTGAGAAACTCACAGTCTAAAAGAATTTTAGGAGGGGCACCTGGATGGCTCAGTCAGTTAGGTTAGGCATCAGGTGGTTAAGCATCTGACTCTTGATTTTGGCTCAGGTCAGAATCTCAGGGTCCTGTCATGAAGCCCTGCTATGGGGCCACTCAGAGTTTGCTTGATTCTCTCTCTCTCTCTCTCTCCCCCTCTGTTCCTCTCCCTGCTCATGCACTCTAATTTTTTAAAAATCTTAAACCCCCAAACATTAAAAGATAAAAGAATGTTACTCCTAACATATGCAATTATAATTTAGAAGAGAACCAATTAATTTTTACAGATACAATATTCAGATATTTACAAGCCCATAAATATTACTTCAGTGTATTACAGATCTTTTGTTCTGATAGATGGGTTACTCTGTGGCACTATACCTTCCTCAATTTGTGCCAATGTCCTCTAAACCTCCTTGCCTGGGGCGCCTGGGTGGCTGAGCTGTTAAGAGCCTGCCTTTGGCTTAGGTCACGATCCCGGAGTCCTGGGATTGAGCTCCATATTGGGCTCCCTGCTCAGTGGGGAGCCTGCTTCTCTCTCTCCAGCTCCCCCATGCTTGTGTTATCGCTCTCTCTGTCATAAATAAATAAAATCTAAAAAAATAAAAAATAAATAAACCTCCTGGCTTTAAAATTTTCCTATTTTTATACTGGTATTTTATTTCGGTTTTCTTTCCCCTTCCCATGTCTTCTTCCTAATTTCATTCCAGCCTGATTGTGGTCATGGCTCCTATCTGACCACCTCTCCTGCAAATAACAATGAGGGTATAGAAAAATGACTACCCGACGGCCTTGGAAAATGAACAAAACTAGGCAGGTATGGAGGAGATGTGGAAGAAGGGAACAGTACAGGGTGAGTGTTCAATTTATTTATAGCCTTTGACTCAAAGGCAAACAGTCCACATTACGTGAATGGCTAGAACTCAGAAACTCAGTCTTACTGGCTTGAAGACTCAGAGAACTGAGTTCATGGCAACCACAGCCACTGGTAAATAAGAATGAAAGTGGGAAAGGAAAGGACCACAGGCAAGAGCCTAAATCATACACATGAACTCTGCCTAAGTATCTGGCTGGCCCTTTAACCAACACCTACAAACACCTTAGCTAAGGCTAACAGAACTGAACTTAGATTTGAACTGTTGCCTGCTCCCGGGGAAACAGAGTTTACCGATTCCAAGTTCAGATGAATTAACTGCCTGCAAATTAAACAGCCAACCAACCAATCAATAAATTAACATGCTTTGGAAGAACATAACAGAATCAGGCTCTACAATGTTTCATATGCAACGTTCATGCTACAATCCAAAATTAATGCACATATGAAGAGCCAAGAAAATATGATTTTTTTAATTTTACTTATTTTATTTTTCTTAATATGATTCATTCTTAAAAGACAATCAACAGAGACTAACCCCAAGATGACCCAAATGTTAGAATTAGCAGACAAGGATTTTCTAACTATGCTCAAGGATATAAAGGAAAGTAAGCTTATAACAAAGGATAGGCCATCTCAGTAAAGAAACAGAAACTGTTAAAAAAAAAAAAAAAATCAAAATGGAAATTCTTTTTTTTTTTTCCAAAATGGAAATTCTAAAACTGAAAGGTATCTGAAATAAAAAATCCACTGAATGGGCCTCACAGAAGAATGGAAATGAGAGATTCAGAGACTTTGAACATATGGACCCAGAAGTTTTACAATCTGAAGAAGAGAGAACAAAAAAACATGGGCAGAATCTCAAAGTCTGACAAAGAACAAAGGTAACTCAATGGAGAGAGGTCAGTCTTTTCAGCAAATGGTGCTGGAGCAACTGGACATCCACGTGCAAAAATAAAGTAATAAATTAATTAAAAAATAAAATCTAGACGCAGACCTTAAACCTTTCACAACAATTAATTCAAAATGGCTCACAGACTTAAATGTAAAATGCAAAACTATAAAACTTCTACAAGATAATATAGGATAAAATCTAGGTGACTGTGGGCTTGGTGATAACTTTTTAGATTCAACACCAGAAGTTTGATCCATGAACGAAAAAATGTGGAAAGGTGAATGTCATTAAAATTAAAAAATTCTGCTCTGCAAAAGACGCATAGAAGGAAATGAAAGGAACAAGCTACAAACTGAGAATATTTAAAACACACTTATTTGATTAATGACTGGTATTCAATATACACAAATGATGTGGTTTTGGAATATAGAAGAGTTTCGGTGGGGTGAGGTCCAGAACCGAGAAGTCTTTGGTGCAAAATGGTGGTTTATTAAAGCACAGGGGACAGGGCTCTGTGCAGAACAGGTGCTGTGCCTGTGTCTTAAGGAGTGGCTGATTGGAGCACCTGGGTGGCTCAGTGGGTTAAGCCTCTGCCTTTGGCTCGGGTCAGGATCTCAGGGTCCTGGGATCTCTGCTGGGCAGGGAGCCTGCTTCGTCCTCTCTCTCTGCCTGCCCCTCTGCCTGTTTGTGATCTCTCTCTCGGTCAAATAAATAAATAAAATCTTAAAAAAAAAAAAAAGAGTGGCTGATTATCCCCCTGGGAGTTGTAAGGAAGGAATTGGGAGGTTTCAAAAGAACTTTCATATGCTAAAGAGGACCAACCTACAAGGTACCACAAGTTCAGGTTGTCTTCCCCTCTAGCAAGATATTAATGAGATGACAGTTGGGAGATTCCTGGAACAACATCACACAGGTCCCATCCAGGAGTGGGGGCTGGGGGGAGGTTGCAGGCTGTCGGCGTATGCTTCGTCTTCAGCTAGCCTTCTGCTCCCTCACCACATATACATCTTAAAATTCAACAGAAGAAAACCAACAACCCAGTGAAAAAGTGGGTAAGAAAAAAAGCTTAACACACCCCACGAAAGATGATATAAAGATGGCAAACAGCCTAAGAAAATATACACAACATCCTACGTCATCAGGGACATACAAATTAAAATAACAACGAGATAGCACGACACAACTATTAGAATAGCTAAAATCCAAAGCACCAACACCACCAAATGCTGGCAAGGATGCAGGGCAAAAGAAACTCGTTGCCGCTGGGAATGCAAAAGACAAACACTTTGTTAGACAGTTTGGCTGTTCCTTGTAAAACTAAAACAAAACCTACCCTATCTATATGATTTAGGAAATGAGCCAAAGACTCATGTCCACACAACCTGCACACAAATGTTTACAGCAGCTTTATTCTGAACTGCCAAAACTTGTAAGAATCCAAGATGTCGTTCAATAGGTGAATGGATGTGGCACAGCCATACAACACATACTCAGTAATAAAAATAAATGACCTGTTAAGTCAAGAAAACACACGGAGGAAGCTTAAATGCATGCTGGTAAGTGAAAGAAGCCCATCTAAAAGGGCTACAGACTGTGATTCCAACTATATGCCACCTGGAAAGGGCAAAACTATGGAGACAGTATAAAGATCACTGGTTACCAAGGGACTTGCAAGGTGTGCTGATGTGACCGCACAGGAAAAAAAAAATCCCACCAGAATGCAAAACAGGAACACTGCCTTCCTGTCTGTCTCAGAGTAAATATCAACTCATTAATTAGAGCACGGACACACAGCAATCAGAAACTGCTGCTACAGCATCCATTGCAGTTTCTAGATTAATTTGGCAGGCACGCCTAGCTGCCTTGAAAGGATATACAAACAATCCCAAAAAGCGAAACAGCAGTAAGAGAACGATTCCCTGGGTGCAACGGGATGCATGCTAAAAAAGAAAACAAAACAAAACAAAAACCCCTGGGGTACTGGTTCTTGTTCCTGAAAATTAAAGTTCTATTGACTGTGACCATTTGTTATGAGACGAGAGTTTATAATTCTTTTTTTAAAAAGGTAGTAACCCTAAATTTATGTACTTAGTGATTGCACTTTCCTAGAGTCAACTTAAAGTAATGGAAGGGAAAGGGAATAAGCTGGTCTTCCAACAGAATGCCACGAAGTATGTGGCGGAGCAGGTCACTGGGGCAGAAATTCCCCGGAGACCCCAAGGAACCGTCAGTGCGTCCCCACAAGATTCTGCATCCCAGACCTGGTTAGAGGCGGGGGCTCCTCTGCGAAGCAGCCCCTCGCCCCAGGCCGCCCGTACTTGCGGCGCCGCCCCAGTTTTCCTAACTGCTGCAAAACACCGGGCGCGGGCGGGGTGGTCTGCGCGAAGAAGGGAAATGACCTTCAAGGTCAGAAGCAAACCTTGGTTTCGACCCTCAGCTGGAAACTGAATTGGAGTCGCTGTCGCTAGTGCCTTACAAGTACCCGGGGGAATCCTTCGGGTTGGGCTTTCATCAATCCCCCCCTCCCGCCAATAGAGACACCACCGACGCTCACCTCTGAGCAGGGACATGGCTGCGAGCGAGGACGAACGCGGGCTTCCCCTCCAGCGACGAGGAGGGGCCCCTGCCCACCTCCCCGCCTTAAAGCCAGGGGCGGCGACCCGCGAGGCCCCGCCTCCGCCCTTTCACCCACTTCCCGCCTCTCTGGCCAGTCGGTGCTCGTCGCCCCCGGGCGAGACGCCACCCTCCGTGTGGGAACCCCAACCCTGCCAGCAGCCGGGCCTTGCAGAAGAGAGCGTTCCTTGCCAGCGCATTTCCTCCTCACTCTTGTCTTTAAAGACTTTACCTCTCTTTTCTCCAGCGAGACAATGACTTGACTCTGCCCTTGTCCCTCCTGTCCCTGGCCTCCATAACCCGCCCCATAATCCTGTACTGAACGTTCCCTTTCACCCCGCACTGGATCGCCTTAGTCACTGGACCAGGCGTCCCGACACCAAGACGCCCCCCATGTGGAAAGGACTCGAGGGGAGGGGGCGTGGGGCCGGAAGTCGGGTGGGCCGGGCGCGAGGTCGCCGCGAGGGGATTGGCTGAGCCTCTGTCGCAGGCTGCGCGGTGCGGCTGCGCGGAGAGGCCGAGGGCGGCGGGGCCTAAGAGGGACCGGGAGACCTGGCGCTGGGTGGAGGTGGGGACCGGGCGGACGGGCGAGCGGGGTGGGGGCGATTGCAGTGCGAGGGAGTGCAGCGAGTGTAGCGAGTGTCGGAAGGCAGGGAGTCCCCAGTGTATCCCGCACATGAGCTCGCAGTATTTTCCTTATATGATCGGGCCCTGTTGCTGGCGGTGCCGCTGGCCTGGAGCCCGAGAGGATTATGAAAACGCGTCAGGCGAAGTGTGGCTGGGCACCGGGGCGGGGAGATGAGGGGCAGCGGGCTAGACTGGAGATGAGGGAGAGTTAGGGAGGCCTCCGCCGCTGTGACTGTGAGCCCTGGTCGATGATGACGTGACCACTGCGCAATCTGAGTTCTAGGAACCAGGTGATGGAGTGTGTGCTGAGAACGGACTGAGACCGGGCGAGCAGCACGGCAGCGGCGCGGGGGCCGGGGGTGGGTGGGGGTGGGCGCGGTGTGTGTGTTGCGGGCGGTTCCTGTGCCTGCGAAGCTGCGAAGAAGCTGCGGCGGATTACCTCGAGATTTTCTGTGAACCCTCAGGGCGTGCCTGCCCTAGACTCCCGCTTTCAGGCTCCTGTAGCCTTCTTGCAAGGTCTAAGTCCATCCTTTTCTTTATGAAAACATTTGAACATACAGAGAAGTGGAAACATTTCTGCAGAGAACACCCATATATCCACCACCTGTATTCTGCAGCTGTTAACGTTTTGGTATATTTGTTATATCACATCTAACATCAAACTACCTTATTTTCCTAATGCAGAACTTAATACAGTAGTCTCTGCCCCTCACCCCCGAATGGGGGGAGGGGAGGAAGACATGGTCCCAGACCCCTAGGGGATGCCTGAAACCAGATAGTGCCAAGCCCCGGGTTTTTTTCCTGTATGTACATATCAATGATAAAGTTTATGATTTAGGCACAGTAAGAGATTAATAGCAATAGTAAGACAATAATATACCGTAATAAAAGTTATGTGGGGGGCGCCTGGGTGGCTCAGTCTCTTAAGCCTCTGACTCTTGATTTTGGCGCAGGTCATGATCTGGGAGTGGTAAGATGGGGCCCTGGTTCAGGCTCCCATCTAGGGGTGGAACCTGCTTAAGATTCTCTTTCTCTCTTACTCTCTGCACCTGCCCCCGCTTTCTCTTTCTTTCAAAAAAAAAAAAAAAGTTACGTGAACGTGGTCTTTTTTTTTCCTTTTTTTTTTTTTTTTTTTTTTTTTAGGATTTTATTTATTTGAGAGAGCAAGGGCACAAGCAGAGGGAGGGGCAGAGGGAGAGAGAGAAGCGGACTCCCCGCTGAGCAGGGAGCCCCAGGTGGGACTCCATCCTAGGACCCCTGGGGTCATGACCTGAGTGGAAGGCAGATGCTTAACCAACTGAGGCTCCTAGAAGCCCCAATATTTCTTGTACTGAACATTTTTATAAGGATATGAGGTGATAAAATGCCTACCTGATGATGTGAAGTGAGGTGAATGCTTTGGTATTGTGACATAGGCTACTATTTAAGGCTACTATTGTCCTGACACCTCAGAAGAATCCTTGGCTTCCCAGACCCTGCTTAGCTGCAGGTGACCTTGGGTCACTGAAATGGAGGAAAGTGAAATGGCAGATGAAAGGGTTAAGTTATACACTACTCTGGGAACACTTGGCTTGGGTCCTATTAGATACCAATATTTATTTCTGTTTTTTCTTAAGGCAGAATTTACATGTGGCCATACATGAAAATCTTAAATTGATTGAATTTCACAAGTGTATACACTCTTGTAACCCGTTCTATCATCGGCTATAAAACTATAATTAAAACATGTCCATCATCACAAAAAATCACTTTATTCCCCTTCCTACCTTCTACCTCCTCGTCGCCCATCGTTCTACTTTTCTTGTGATCTACTGCAGTTTGACCCTCAGATTTATTCCTTTTCTCCTTTCTGTCACTTTAAATGGAATGAATGCAGGAAATGGATAGCTGATTTAATATATAGGTAAGCTCTGAGGGTTATTAACTTTTAAAAATATATAAACTACTTTCCCACAATGAGTATGTATAGTCAATAGAATTCTGACTGAGATCAAAACTTCTCACCTACCAGATGATTTTTTTTACCTGCATCTTCTGGATGATGAACAGGGAGTAATAATAAAAGCTACCATTTTTTGGATACTGTGTGCCCAGCATTGTGCCAGGCCCTTACATATGGTTGTTATAATAATCCTATAAAATGGAATAATACACAATTCACATATATCAGACAAATCCTGACTGAGGGACAGTCTACAACCCCATGAGATAGGTGGGGTTTTTTTTCCCCCTCTCATTTTATAAATGATGAAGCTTAGCCTCAGAGAAACCAAAGACCTTGCCAAGGCCTCCAATCTAGAAATTGCTGAATTAGAATTTTGAACGTGTGATTCTCAAATGCCCAAGGCCTGTTGTCTTCAGGACTCAGAGGATATGGAAATATAGGAGTGCGGATAGAGAAGCTGACGGGTATCATTAGCTAAGGTCTCTGTTACACAAAATGAAAGGAGGTGAATGTTAAGTGAATCTTCCTTGGAGGAAGAAATAAAAGTACTTGGGAAGAAATCCTGTTAAGGATGACTTTCTGTATTTTCCAGTGTATGGTGGCTTAGGTTCTGAAGATTTATTTCCTTTTTTCTGCAGGGGAGGGTGTGTGTGGCGGGAGATGGGGGGATAAAGTGGTTTCAGGTAGGTGGAGAGGTGAGGCAATGTGTCAGCAGTAAATGTTCATACTTCCGCAGCCAGAGTTCCTGAGGGAAACAATATGAGTAACTTTTAATTCTCTTAAGGATGATACAGAGCACGTACTATTCTAGGTGTAGGAATTAAGTTATTACATTACATATAACGGAAACCTTGGACTTGATTTGGGTTTGACAGTAACTCAGTTCTAATATTTTTTTTTTGCCATCGTAGTTGCTGTGTTAAATAAAGGCTTATTTTTCCTTTAGGGCTAATTATCAGTTGGGCTGCTTTTGGCTGCAAATAACAGAAGACTTAAAATGGCTTAAACAATAAGGTTTTTTATTGTTTCACATAACAAGAAGCCTCCAAGTATTACCATGTCATCAAGTATCCAGGCTTTTGGTTGCTAAAGCTGTAGGCATCATGTCTGCACGAAACCATGTTCAAATGGGGGAAGGTGGGTATTTATTGATGTGGTTTGGAGTGGTGGGGTGGTGGGGTTCAGAGCCCATGGCCAAGAAAGAATTCTTGAGATGTCTTTGGAGTGAAAAGGTGGTTTTATCAAAGCACGAGGACGGGACCCATGGGCAGAAAGAGCCGCACTGCGGTGTGAGAAGGGACTGTATATGAGGTTTTCTATCCTGTGGACGGGAGGGTGATGTTAGGGAGATTGAGTCTATAGGTTTCTAGAGATTGCTTTTTTCTTATAAATCATTAAGACAGTTGCAGACTGTTGGAGACTCATATCCTGCCGACTGTGATCTCTATCATTTAACCATTTGTTTTCCCCTTTCCTTTATTGGAGGGCAGCCAGGAGTGCCTGGGGAATGTCACATATAGGGGTGTGGAGGGGTCGGGTTCTGTCTGGAAGTAGGGACAATTCTTTGGATGATATAATCCTATCTAGGAGGAGGCAGATCCAAGCTAGACTAGCTTGGCTGCTGGTGAGGCTGCGTTCACTCCTATTGGCTGGGAGAGGCTGGGTTGGAATCAAGTGATTTGCCCGTGGTCTTGTCTCTATACTTAGACAAAACTATCAAGTGGTCTTCAGTCAAATGTTGTCTCATTTCATCATAGGCACAGAGCAGCCTTGCCTGATGTTGGTGTCTTGTGAGATTGGGCCCCAGGGGAGGACACCCTGGCCTGGCTGGGAGGGCCAGTCCAGCTTCTCATACCACCGGGCCTCGCCCTAAGTGCCAGACCAGGTCCCTGATGTTGGGCTTCTTTGCTCTCTCAACTCTAAGTAGTTAAGTGTGTCTTGTATGAAATTTGACTCTTCGTGGACAGTTTTCCTGTGGACGCCTTGATGGTAAGCCTAGACCTCTCTGGGTGTGAGGGGAAGGGTTTCCTGAAGAGTGACCTCATTCTTCCATCAGCCACCCAGAAGAGAGGTGAGTCCATCCTTAGGTAGGAGGTTGGGTTTTATTATTTTTTTAAGGTTTTTGAGAGAGAGAGCGCCCGTGTGTGCATGAGCAAGGGGGAGGGGCAGAGGGAGCAGCTGACTCCCTGCTGAGCAGGGAGCCCAATGAGGGGCTCCAGCCCAGGACCCTAAGATCATCACCCGAGCCCAAGGCAGATGCCCAGCTGACTGAGCCACCCAGGCACTCCATGGAGGTTGGTAACTTTTAGAGGTAACTTTTTTTTTTTTTTTTTTTTTTTTTAGAGGCAACTTTTCTCCGACCAGTATTTCTGTATCATGACGTGTTTCATGGTGGTTCCTAGTGACAAGTGTTTAAGGGCACCGTCCCTGGAGAAACCTTAACCTATACCTACTGGTGGGGCAGCTGACCTAGGTTTCAAAGATTTCCAGGTGATTTTGGTGTGTGCTCTTGTAGGTAAAAAACAGCCTACCCGTGTTTCTGTATATATGTTTAGTTTCTGGGCTCTCTATTCTGTTCCAGGGGATAACTGGTCTGTACCATTTCTACACATCTCACATCTTAATTACTAAAGTTTTATATTAAGTCTTGGTACTTGTTGGGAAAGTTTTCCCTTTAAGGAAGGTCTTCCTTATCGTTGGGTCTTGGCACTTCCCTATCAATTTTAGAATAAGTTTGTCGATTTCCCCCACAAAAATACTGTTGAGATTTTTTTTGGTTGTGTAGATCAACTTGGAGACAACCGACCACAGTTTTGTGGTATTTAAGTCTTCTTATCCGCAAACGTGATATAATTTCTCCAGGCTGTCAATGTTTCACTTAATGTTATAAACTCCATACGGATCTTGTAAATATTTTCCCACTTTTTTTTTTTACACATATGCAAAGTTATACATGTGACTGAGTCTGTCCCTAGGCTCTGTGTCCCGTGCCATTGATCTACTCATCTTTTCCTCTTCCAAACTACTGTGTTTGAATTCTGTGGCTCTGAGGCAATTGCTCAATAAGTCTTGTTATTTTACAGGGAAAGTTGCTCCCCACCCCCTACCTACAGGCAGAAGTTTGCCAACCCCTGGTTTAAGTGATCATGATCCATGTTTGAATGTAGGCCCCTAGAATCAAATTTCTCAAGCAGGCATTAAAAATAAGCTTTTCAGCCGGTATATAGCTGCAGAGTTTTAAATTTCATTTAGATTTGGCACACCACTTTCTTCAAAAGTATTTATTTCCACAAATTTTTATCCACAGCTGAATATTATAGTAACTAATACAAGCATCTTTTTCTATAAACAAAGGTGTACTTTACAGATTTGTTCAAAATGAAAAAATATTTTTATCAGTAGTATTTCTTCTTACAATGTTAGATTTACTCCTGCCTATGATGTGAACCCTCTTCGGAGAAGCAGTCTTTCATCTAAATAATGGTTGCCGGCAAAATGTTATATCCAAATCTGGTTTATTCTGATATAGTATCATCTTAGAAAGTAGCTTAAAATCATTTGATTGATTGCTTTATTAGAATTAGAAATTTCTTTAGGAAAACCAATATTTAGTATCAACCTAATAAGAGGAAAGAACAGTCCTATATTTGTCATTGCCATTAACCTCTAATTTTTCTATACCCAATTCTCTAATTATGGCACCAATGTGTGCAAAAAAAATGAATTTTGGCTATTCTGCTCATGCAGCAAATTAATTTGAGAAACTGCCTAGGAATACTCTAGGAGGACAAAGGACAGGGACCTGCCCCCATGCTGTCACACTGTAGTGACTGTCCAGTCCCCTAGGCAGGAGACAAGCGCTTCAATTCTGGATACCCCTGCTGCCTAGAAGGAGGTCAAATGAATGACAACCGTTACATATATTGTAGGCAGAAGAAATGAATTCTAATTTATTTCCTATAATCTTGATGCCTAAGAGTGGTGAATTGATGGTAGCAGGGTTAAATTTTTCCTAAGTGTTCCAAGTTCCTAGGTTTCTCTTTTGTCTTGTTTTTACGAAAGCCTGAAAATTTTGAGTATAGGAAAATCAAGGGAAGGAGCTCCTACGGACATGCCCCATGGAAAGCGGAGAAACAACCTACATAAAGTTTGGGTCTCATCTGCTGTTCAGATGCCACAGAGCAAACTGCAGCTGTGAAGACCCAGGGAGAACGCATAGAGGGAGCACGCTTCCCAGCTCCAGCAACAGTGACTAATCTGCATTACTACCAGCAAACAGAGGTCCCCCGTGATACTGAAAACACAGGCTATTTATAAATATTTGATTCTTAAATAATCGTTAAAATGCTCTTAATGTTTCAAGAGACAAAGGAAAACTCCACCATGATGTCGAACATTAAAATTCTTCCCTCTGCAACTCTTGTTTCCGAGAAATAATTGACAAGTTATCTTAGTAACTGCCCAAGGCACGTGGTGAGAGAGGGTGTCGACTAAATTTTAAATAAAAAGGAGAGACAGGTATCCAGTGCGGACTGAGGTCAGACCTTGGTGTTGAATTAAGTTACACGAAGTCATTGATTTCATGAGGTCGGAAAATGTTTAGCTTTAAAAAAGCAAATAAAAATACTAATAAGTGATTAAAGTTTCTCTAAAGGTGCTTCTTTTCAGTCTCCAAGTGTTAAGTTAAACAGGAATGACCCAAGCATGAACCAGTTGCTGTTATTTCTCTGTTGTTAGTACTCTATTAAGTACAGCTCCAGTGGAATGCCCCTCTCTCCTGGAAAAGGACTATTCATACTCCCCCTCCCCCCTCCGCTGCCACATTTATTCTAATTGCCAAGATTTTATTGAATGAGTCCTTGGCACCTATGATTAACAGTGACAGCAGTAGTGACCCATGGAGATGGAGAGAGTGAGGGTATAAGACACAACGTAAGGACAGCAAAGCCGTTGCATTTATAGAATCACTGCTTTTCAGACTCCTCAACACTCTAAACAAGGACATTTGGGGTTATCTTGAAGATGAAGGTCAGTCCTTACATGAGGGCTCAGTTTTAAACTAAAGTGCAACATCAAGCAAATTATACTTAATAAACGACTTTAAAAAGAGGTAGCCACAGACCCACAGACTGGCCTTCCCAAGGAATTCACTGTGTGAGCTGAGGGGGGTGCACTGTGGGTTTCAGAGGACATAGCTGTACCCGGCGAAGGGGGGACAGACACAGCTCTGTGGATACCTGAGAGCGGCCTGCCATGGTTTCCGTGGACGTGTCATGCTGGGGTTGTAGATTTGGACAGGATGCTCCAGAGTCTGCCCAGGCGTTGGGCCTTGTGCCCCAGCAGGCCCAAGAACGGCGGAGCAAGTGGAGCCAAATGGACACAGGACCATTCGGGTCTTGGGGTGTGCGGTGTTTCCAGGAGCTTTTGGAGTTGGCTGGCTGATGGACAGGTGGTGCTTGCGTGTGTGTGTGCATGTGTGCGCATAGGGGATGTTCCACCTGCCATTCATGGGGTAATCTTCTTGATGTCATATAGAGGCTCTTCTCAGTTTTGCAAATACCATCTGTTCTGGTCATGGGAGCAACACACTGTTATCTATTAGAAATACGGAAAAAAGGGGCGCCTGGGTGGCTCAGTGGGTTAAAGCCTCTGCCTCCGGCTCAGGTCATGGTCCCAGGGTCCTGGGATTGAGCCCCATATTGGGCTCTCTGCTCGGCGGAGAGCCTGCTTCCTCCTCTCTCTCTCTGCCTGCCTCTCTGACTACTTGTGATCTCTGTCAAATAAATAAAATCTTAAAAAAATACGGAAAAAAATCACCAAAAAGTGGGTGTAGAGAATATGCAGGGTTTTCTAATTGAATGCCTACTGTTGAAGAGGCAAGGAAAAAACCTATAAAAGCAGCGAACATAAAATCGGCTGACATATTTCACTGAAAACTGTTTTAATCCTTTTTTCAAAGCAGAGGTATTTGCCGTGTTTATGTGGTAAATTTAAAAATTGTTGAAAACGGGCGCCTGGGTGGCTCAGTTGGTTAAGCATTGGCCTTTGGCTCCGGTCATGATCCCAGGGTCCTGGGATGGAGCCCCACATCGGGCTCCCTCCTCCATGGGAGTCTGCTTCTCCCTCTCCATCTGCTGTTCCCCCTGCTTGTGCTCTCTAATAAATGAATAAAATCTTTAAAAAATAAAAAATAAAAAATGTTCAAAATAACCTGAAAAGGGAGTGTTGACCTAAGCTACTCACTTTTTTTTTTTAAAGATTTTATTTATTTATTTGTCAGAGAGAGAGAGAGAGAGAGAGCGCGAGAGTGAGCACAAGCAGATAGAGTGGCAGGCAGAGGCAGAGGGAGAAGCAGGCTCCCTGCTGAGCAAGGAGCCCGATGTGGGACTCGATCCCAGGACGCTGGGATCATGACCTGAGCCGAAGGCAGCGGCTTAACCCACTGAGCCACCCAGGCGTCCCGCTACTCTCACTCTTTAAAAAGAACATACACTTATACACACATACAAACCCAAAAAGACTTTTGGACGATAATAATCCCTGAACTGAATATTTAGAAAAGTTTTTTCAAATAATCGGATTCTCAAGTTCATTTTCCTTTACTGTTTCTGTTTACCTGGAATTATAGTGCATTATATGATGTTCTTATTGGAAGTTTTATGGCATTAAGGGATTACAGGCTTTCATACTGACTTGTTTGGTTTTTTTAATCTGTAAATAAAACCAAAGTTGGTATTCTTTTCTAATATTTAGATTACGTAGATTTTTGTGAAAGTCTTGTGGACTCAGGAAGCACATGGACTAGCACTGGAAACAAAGACTGTCTTTCCATGTTGCTCACACTTTAAGTTTGGGACTGGAGCATTTTAAGCAGGACTCTTCCATAAACCCAAGACTATGCAAAAAGGGTTTAAGCATACGTGGGACAGAGTCTTCTAATTTTGCTTTAGAAACCTGTCCTCAGAATGTTTGGAGGTTAGTTATACCACTGTCTCTGCATCACCAGGCTTTCAGAATACTTTCGAAAAACTTCTCAGAAGGCCCAAGCCCTGTATTTTTGTTCTCCGAACATCTCCCCACAAACTCATTTGCATCGGTGGTTTGTAGACCTCAGGAGATGGCCCCACTGTGCGACAGCTTCATGTTATTAGTACCATTATTTGTTCTAAGTCCTTTGAAGGCAACTTACGTGGCATATTTTTCATAGTATTTTTCATATTATTTTACTTTGGGCACCCTCCAGTTATATGCAAAGATCAAAACTGGGCAGTTTCCATTTTAAAGACTGACACCTTTTATATGGGCCATGGGGGCTGCTGGGTGGCAGGAAAGGATTTTAACATGTATTTGCTTACACTGAAATCATATACTTAAAAAAAAAATCTTCCATACTTCAAGTGTTTTTATTCTGAGCAGTACGTACAAAAAAATAATGCCAAATGTGTCTTATTCCGTATCGTTCAGCACTCTGTACGGGCTCTCAGTCTTTTACAGATTTAACAGACCCCTCACTTCACCATATATAAGAGGCTTCCTTCTTGCTCTCACTGGAAATGGAGCCACGGGCGGGGGTGGGGGCTGCGCCTCGTCAGACCTCGCTGAGGAACTCCAGGTTCAGATAGGCCGGGATGTGGATTGAGTCCATGGTCAGCGAGGATGGGTTGAATGGAAACAAGACGGGAAACATGTGCTTGGAGTCTAACAGCAGCTGCTGAGGGTCATTCCGCTCTTGTAGCTGTGCCTGTGAGGGAGACGACAACCACATGAAAGGCCACCCCCAAAAGAGCTGGTTTAGAGAAACTCACAAAAGTGAAGTAGCGTGTATTATGGAAATATTTGTTAAGACAATTAGGGTGGGCTTTGGGAGAACATGGCCTCCCTGTCCCTGTGGCATTTGGCAGGGAGAGGAGCCCTGGTATCAGCCTGTTAGAATCCAGATGACCTTAAGCTCTCCCCAAATTCTGGCAGTCTTTAAAATAAATTTTCCAGCTAAAGGAGAATAGAAAAATACATTTCAGGTGCAAATCGTGTGGAAAGGTACTATAGTGAGGGGTTAAGACCACGGGCTCTGGAGGCAGGCAGCCTGAGCTCTGATCTGGTGGGCAAATTCCTGAGCCTATCTATGCCTTAGTTTCCTCATCTGTAAACCAGAATGGGGAGAGTGACATCACACAAAATGGCAGAGTGAAAGCACTGGGCCTCAGTCCCTCCATTGAAGCAGCCACTTAGCTGGAAAAAGCAATTGCTCTCAAATATGTTGGAACTCTGGAACCTGATTAGACACTTAGGACCAGCAGGAGCTGAAGAAGGGGGAGGTTGCTTATCTCTGCTAAGGGAGCAGTCTATGTGAACTGGCCGCTAACCCAAGTCTCCAGCCCCTGTGCAGCTGAGGGACAGAGGCCCACACTCTGGAAGAAGCTGGCTGGTGCAGCAGGCCAGGCAGTGGGACCTCGTCCTCCAAAATCTGAGTTCCTGCCCTTCGTCTCATGTTCTCTGATGGATGGGCACAGATGCCTGCCTTGATTTCACCTTCTCTTGGGATACAGTGGCTTCCTCCAGTGGCATCAAGTGGAAGATTTAAAGGGACACAACCCTCCTTCCCCCCCACCTAATTTGGACCCAAACATTTTAGGAAAAGTATAATAACTCAAATGAAACTTTTCAGTTCACTAAAGGGGTTCAACAGCAGACTTGAGCAGGCAGAAAAAATGATCAGTGAACTTGAAGATAAGGCAATTGAAATTATCCAGTTTGAGGAACAGATAAATAAAATGGATAAAAGTAAACAGAACCTGAGGGACCTGTGGGACACCAGAAAGCATACCAACATATACCTCATAGTAGTCCCAGAAGAGGAAAAGAGAAAAGGGCTGCAAAATATTGAAGACATAATGGCCGAAAACATCCAAAATCTAATGAAAGACATACATCTGTTCCCCTTCCCCAAGACTCTCAACTCCAAGCAGGAAAAAAAAAAAAAATCCAAATGGGATAAAAAAACATTCACACTGAGACACATTATAGTCAGATCATCAAAGCCCAACAACAAAGAGGGACTCTTGAAAACAGCAAGAGAGAAAGGACTCCTCACTTACAAGGTATCCTCAAGATTACGAACAGATTTTTCATCAGAAACCACAGAGACCAGAAGGCATGGGGTAACCTATTTAAAGTCCTAAAAGAAACTCTTAACCAAAAACTCTATACCCAGCAAAACTATCCTTCAGGAATAAAGGAGAAATTAAGTCACTTCCACATCGACAAGAAAGTCCTGCAGGGGCGCCTGAGTGGCTCAGTCGTTAAGTGTTTGCCTTCAGCTCGAGTCATGATCTCTGGATCCTGGGATTGAGTCCCGCATAGGGCTCCTTGCTCAGTGGGAAGTCTGCCTCTCCCTCTCCCTCTGCCCCTGCTTATGTTCCCTCTCTCGCTGTGTCTCTCTCTGTCAAATAAAATGAAAATAAAATCATAAAAAGTCCTGCAGGCTGACACAGAAGGACACTAGACAGTAACTTGAGGCTGTAGGAAGAAATAAAGAACACAGCCAGCATTGTACTTCTGCTTGTAGCTCCTTACATAATTTACACAGATGCAGAAAACAGTTAAGCATTTCTGTTAGTGGGAGCATCATGTACAGCAGATGTGGCAGCAACAACATAGTGGCAGAGAGAGGGATAGAGGTATGTATGTAGCAGAACATGTGTACTATTGACCTAAGTCGGGATTATTTAAATTAGGTGGTTTCAAGTTTAAGATGTTAGTTGTGATCAGCAGGGTGATAAAAAAGTACACAAAAAAGGAAAGTAGGGAATCACAGTGGTACACTACAAAAACTAAAAACACACAAAGACGGGGTGCCTGGGTGGCTCAGTGGGTTAAAGCCTCTGCCTTTGGCTCAGGTCATGATCCCAGGTCCTGGGATCGGGCCCCGCATCGGGCTCTCTGCTCAGCAGGGAGCCTGCTTCCTCCCTCCCTCTCTGCCTGCCTCTCTGCCTATTTGTGATCTCTGTCAAATAAATAAATAAAATCTTAAAAAAAAAAACAACACACACACAAAGGCAGTAATGAGTAACACAAAACATAGAAGGCATACAGAAAACAAGTGGTTCCCTAGCAGAGGTGATGAATGATAAAGAGTTAACTAGGGTAAAGCAGAGAATGGTCTCTGGCACTAGGTGAGTCCCGTGTGGGTGGCTAACGCTCCTTTGTTCCTTCTGTTGGTTCACATCCCATCAACCTCTGAACCAGGAACCCAGGTGGAGACAACCTTACATGAAGGCCACGGAGACTAGTTAGCTATGAGTGTTGCCCAGAGGAAAATCAACACAGACTGATCTTGTAAAAATACAGGCCATCACCTACTAGCTTAAGCTATCAAAATTTTTTTCCTCCTTAGGAAAACTCACCACTAGGCAGTGGTAACATTTGGTATGTTGTAACTTTCTAGAAGTTTCATCATTATCCTATATTAGCCAAGACCAACAAGAGATCTTATATGAACTCATTAAGCCTTTGCATGTCACAGGTGACTATTACTCATAATAGCTCTGTGTTTCTAAAGCCTTCAAGGGGGCGAAGGTTAGTAAATAATGCAGGATCATTTGAAAAGTGCTGGGAAACAGATTTTTAGAACAAAATCTGTGTGAGCATAGGACTGTGAGTCGATTCATAGTGGCTGCGGAATGCATAAAGGTGAACCTGGATAATGAATGGAAAACTCTTTAAATTTCCAGTTGTCAAGTAAAAAACTTGTGTTTGTGTTCCGTGTGTTTGGTATCACATGAAAGGTGGGCCCAAATTTTGTATGTGTGTGTGAGAGTGTGTGTGTGTGTGTGTGAGTGTGTGTGTGTGAGTGTGTGAGTGTGTGTGTGTGAGTGTGTGTGTGTGTGTGAGTGTGTGTGTGTGTGAGTGTGTGTGTGTGTGAGTGTGTGTGTGTGTGATAGTAGTCCCAGAAGAAGAAAAGAGAAAAGGGCTGCAAAATATTGAAGACATAATGGCCGAAAACATCCAAAATCTAATGAAAGACATACATCTGTTCCCCTTCCCCAAGACTCTCAACTCCAAGCAGGAAAAAAAAAAAAATCCAAATGGGATAAAAAAACATTCACACTGAGACACATTATAGTCAGATCATCAAAGCCCAACAACAAAGAGGGACTCTTGAAAACAGCAAGAGAGAAAGGACTCCTCACTTACAAGGTATCCTCAAGATTACGAACAGATTTTTCATCAGAAACCACAGAGACCAGAAGGCATGGGGTAACCTATTTAAAGTCCTAAAAGAAACTCTTAACCAAAAACTCTATACCCAGCAAAACTATCCTTCAGGAATAAAGGAGAAATTAAGTCACTTCCACATCGACAAGAAAGTCCTGCAGGGGCGCCTGAGTGGCTCAGTCGTTAAGTGTTTGCCTTCAGCTCGAGTCATGATCTCTGGATCCTGGGATTGAGTCCCGCATAGGGCTCCTTGCTCAGTGGGAAGTCTGCCTCTCCCTCTCCCTCTGCCCCTGCTTATGTTCCCTCTCTCGCTGTGTCTCTCTCTGTCAAATAAAATGAAAATAAAATCATAAAAAGTCCTGCAGGCTGACACAGAAGGACACTAGACAGTAACTTGAGGCTGTAGGAAGAAATAAAGAACACAGCCAGCATTGTACTTCTGCTTGTAGCTCCTTACATAATTTACACAGATGCAGAAAACAGTTAAGCATTTCTGTTAGTGGGAGCATCATGTACAGCAGATGTGGCAGCAACAACATAGTGGCAGAGAGAGGGATAGAGGTATGTATGTAGCAGAACATGTGTACTATTGACCTAAGTCGGGATTATTTAAATTAGGTGGTTTCAAGTTTAAGATGTTAGTTGTGATCAGCAGGGTGATAAAAAAGTACACAAAAAAGGAAAGTAGGGAATCACAGTGGTACACTACAAAAACTAAAAACACACAAAGACGGGGTGCCTGGGTGGCTCAGTGGGTTAAAGCCTCTGCCTTTGGCTCAGGTCATGATCCCAGGTCCTGGGATCGGGCCCCGCATCGGGCTCTCTGCTCAGCAGGGAGCCTGCTTCCTCCCTCCCTCTCTGCCTGCCTCTCTGCCTATTTGTGATCTCTGTCAAATAAATAAATAAAATCTTAAAAAAAAAAACAACACACACACAAAGGCAGTAATGAGTAACACAAAACATAGAAGGCATACAGAAAACAAGTGGTTCCCTAGCAGAGGTGATGAATGATAAAGAGTTAACTAGGGTAAAGCAGAGAATGGTCTCTGGCACTAGGTGAGTCCCGTGTGGGTGGCTAACGCTCCTTTGTTCCTTCTGTTGGTTCACATCCCATCAACCTCTGAACCAGGAACCCAGGTGGAGACAACCTTACATGAAGGCCACGGAGACTAGTTAGCTATGAGTGTTGCCCAGAGGAAAATCAACACAGACTGATCTTGTAAAAATACAGGCCATCACCTACTAGCTTAAGCTATCAAAATTTTTTTCCTCCTTAGGAAAACTCACCACTAGGCAGTGGTAACATTTGGTATGTTGTAACTTTCTAGAAGTTTCATCATTATCCTATATTAGCCAAGACCAACAAGAGATCTTATATGAACTCATTAAGCCTTTGCATGTCACAGGTGACTATTACTCATAATAGCTCTGTGTTTCTAAAGCCTTCAAGGGGGCGAAGGTTAGTAAATAATGCAGGATCATTTGAAAAGTGCTGGGAAACAGATTTTTAGAACAAAATCTGTGTGAGCATAGGACTGTGAGTCGATTCATAGTGGCTGCGGAATGCATAAAGGTGAACCTGGATAATGAATGGAAAACTCTTTAAATTTCCAGTTGTCAAGTAAAAAACTTGTGTTTGTGTTCCGTGTGTTTGGTATCACATGAAAGGTGGGCCCAAATTTTGTATGTGTGTGTGAGAGTGTGTGTGTGTGTGTGTGAGTGTGTGTGTGTGAGTGTGTGAGTGTGTGTGTGTGAGTGTGTGTGTGTGTGTGAGTGTGTGTGTGTGTGAGTGTGTGTGTGTGTGAGTGTGTGTGTGTGTGTTGTATATTTAGAGGGAGGGAAGGAAGGAGGGAATTGTGTATGTGGGGAGAGGCAGGGGGGAGGGGCAGAAGGTGGGGGGAGAGAATCTCAAGCGGACTCAGTGCTGAGCATGGAGCCTATGTGGGGCTTGATCTCACGACCCTGAGACCATGCCCAGAGTTGAAATCAAGAATCAGATGCTCAACACACTGAGCCACCCACATGCCCTGGGTCAAAATTTTGAAGTAATTTTAACAGTTTGAAAAAGTAGCTTGAAATAATGGGAACAGTTTAGCAGAAGAAAGGACATTTAGAGACACATAAGCAACCACTGTTACTAATTTAAGATACCAAATGGTGGCTCTGTTGAGAACCTAACAGAATGGTCTCTCCAGGACCACTGAAGTCCAAAAGTGAATTCAGCTTGCTGCATTTATTATTACAAACCCGGTCACACAGCCTATAAAGGTGTACATAAAATGTGAAAGGGCAAAAGGCTCTTAAAAATTGTTTTGTAGCACTTAAATGTCCTTTTATTTCTCAACCTCAGATAGATCAGCAGGCTCTACTCTTTAAAGGGTTTGAAGAAATTGTAAGGGATTGAGAAGAGGGTATAAAAATGGAGAAAAGTTAATACCTGTATTATTTATAATTCAGCAGCAAAAGGTGCGCATACTTATTTAAAATTAACAAGGTAGTCATCTCATAGGCATTATCCTGTGAATCCTTCTGTGAGTTTGAGAATCCCCTCAAATCTACGTTTTTAAAGGTCAGCACGTTCTGCCCATATCACCCAAGCAAATGGTTTGCTTTAAGGAACAAATAGTATTTATCCCACATTAGATGTGTGCAAGTACAGGAAGTTGGCACAAATCATTCCACCCTTTCCTCTGTATAGCCTCTGTCTAGGGAGAAACAGAACATAAAACTACAGCTGGCAAAACAAAACAAAACAAAACAAAACACAAAAACAAAAAACAGAAACCCCACCCCAAAACCAAAACAAAACAAACAGAAAAAAACAAAAAAAAAAAAGAAAAACACCAGCCAGAATTTTTTTAAAGCGTCACCAGCCACTGAGAGTGGCAGCTGAAGCGACTCAGAACCTGATTCTGGCTCTGCAGAGACTCTCTGACCAACCTCTGCTACCTTTTTTCTCCTCTGCCCTTAATTCAACGCCAAAGTCTGATGTGGCAAAAATTCTTTGACCTTTGGCTTGACTTCCGACTTGTCTTTTAAACAGTGCCACTGTCAACTCAGCAGCGGTTCCAATTCTCCCTCTGATGTGTGTACTAGTATTTAAAACCAAATAAGACGTTCTGAACTTGTACTTTGATTCGTGTAAATTATCAGTGCTCCACAAAAGTCCGTGGGGACTCAGAAAACCTGGTGGCTTCTCTGTCATCGAAAGGCTTCCTCTACTTTCAGTAGCAGACTGTGGCTGTGTCTGGAATGGATCTTTTCAATCAGCACCCCACCTTCTCAAGATATCTGTGGTGCTCCCTCTCTGCCTGCTTTCCCTGTGCTCCGCATGTCACTGCGTTGCCTTTAGAAGAACAGCCTTCCACCTGATTTGGCATCCTTCCTTTGACCTTCAGCCTCTGGTTTTACCTTAGACACAAGGCTGAAATGTTCATTTGTCCTTAGACATGGCTGACTTTCTCAATCTCTGGATCTCTGCGTGGCCATGGTGTAAGGCGCTCTGAAGAGAAATCCCAAGACTACACCAGAGGGAAGAGCGTCTCCTACCCCATGTATTCTCCAGGTTTTTGAGCGTCTTTTTGATAAAGCCTCGTTTCAATTCCCTTTTTCCTGCCTCCTCTGCTCACTTTTGTCCATTTCTTTTGATCCTGGTTTCGTATGCTGGGATCACAGTGCATTGGCTGGCTAAGGAGGCATTGAGAAAGTGTTGTATCTCCTCAGGGTGTTCCCCACAGTGGGTAATGGGAGAAACGGTCACCGTCCTTCTGAGTTATCGGGATGTGGCTACAGTTATACAATTCTACTATTGCTACAGCATTCAGGGCCTGGAAAATTTCCTCACATGTGTTGTTACGACATTACAGTTAACTCCTGCAAGGTCTCCCAATTAATAGGGGACATTTGTGATCCATTAAACATAACCAAGATATCCACTGATCTATTTGAAAAATTTGGTAGTTGGGGATCTTATCTAATCTATCATAATTTGGAGCCTAACTTGTTTCATGTTTCTCCTTTTGCACGTGCTGATGCATGTGCCATTTGCTGGCCATCGTGCCCCCTGGAACCATACTGTAAGCCCCTGGACCGACTCCTGGATCGATTCTAACTGCCTCACAGCCCACCGCCCCATTTCAGCAGGAAGCAGCCAGAGTGGTCACGGCTCCCGTCCCTGACAGCAGTCCTTACTATTCCGGGTCGGGGGGGGGGGGGGGGGGGGAGGATCAGGTGGGGCTAGGTAGGGAGAGAGAGAAAGGGGGCTATGTGATCAGGCTCACAGAAATCCCAAAAAAGTGGAGGTGTGGGGAAACCAGAGAGAAGAGGACAGACCGGATCACCCTCCCCTAAGCGTGTGAGGTGGGTAGTGTCTCTACGATAATCACCTGTGACCAACAAAGAATAACCAGGTCCTAAAAAGGAAGTAAGCCATGGAAGGTGGTATCAATAGAGATGTTAAAAGGATTTAAGTTCCCTGGTTAGCTTTCTAGAAAAGACAAACCCTAAAGGCACTCATTGGCAACCCTGTGAGGACCCCTCTCACTCTTGAGAGCTTTTTCTGTATCTTCACTTAATAAACTTCTATCACTTTAGTAAAAAATAATTTTTTTTTTCTTTAAGGCATTCAGCCAAATCACCTAAAGCTCAGCTTTAGGAAGCTCATCTTAAAAAGAAAAAAAAAAATCCCACAATCTCAAGACAGATTTAAATAATCACTTCCCTAATACATTTTCTTTTCTTTAAAGCATATACCTAAGGGCAAATGTTATGAGTCTTAGAGGCAAGACTGAGAGCTCAAATTGTTTTCTTAAAATAATATTTCTTAGTTTAGTTCATGGGTGGGGTTGATATTCTGCTGACTTTTTAATTCCACTTGGCGCTCTAATTCAGTGATGTGCTAGTGGCAAATACGACATCTAAAATCCAAGCAGAGATTATAAAAGTTTGGTCTTTTGTGTATACAGCTAAGTTATTTATGGGTGATACAGTTAGTACTTACCCAAATGGAAAGCCTTAGGATGTAAGGTCTTTTGGCTTAGAGTATAACCAGTGATTTATTAATACAGAGAAGCAAAGTTAAACTCTAAACTTTGATTTCCTTTATTAGTTTTAGGTGAGAGCTTTATAAAATTGATCCTAGTTTTGGACCAGGACTTTATAAAATTGATTAATGTTTTAAAACTCACCTGGATTGTTCGTATAAAGGCCACAGTCACCCGTTCTTCAAATTCATTCAGGGGAGTATAAAGGTTTAAAATTTTGACAATCTGTTGGAATAAAAACAAAAGCTTAGCACAGACCTAAAGGAACATATGACAACTTTTGGATTTCAAAGAATATAGGACACTCACAAGAGTATACTATTCTTTACACAGGACCCATACCTTGGAGTGGGAGTGAAATTGAGGAGAGGAGCCTACAATTTGTAAACTACAGACCAGAGGCTTCGTCTTCTAGACCTGAGCCCTCTTACTCCTGTCTCCATCACACCTCCCTACCCCCACTCCTGGCTTAAAAGATAATGGTTCTAAACAGTGTGGAGATTCCTCAAGAAATTAAAAGTGCAGCTTCCCTATGACCCTGCAATTGCACTACTGGGTATTTACCCCAAAGATACAGATGTAGTGAAAAGGGCCATCTGTACCCCAGTGTTTATAGCAGCAATAGCCACAGTCGCCAAACTGTGGAAAGAACCAAGATGCCCTTCAACGGACGAATGGATAAGGAAGATGTGGTCCATATACACTATGGAGTATTATGCCTCCATCAGAAAGGATGAATACCCAACTTTTGTAGCAACATGGACGGGACTGGAAGAGATTATGCTGAGTGAAATAAGTCAAGCAGAGAGAGTCAATTATCATATGGTTTCACTTATTTGTGGAGCATAACAACATGGAGGACAAGGGGAGATGGAGAGGAGAAGGGAGTTGAGGGAAATTGGAAGGGGAGGTGAACCATGAGAGACTATGGACTCTGAAAAACAACCTGAGGGTTTTGAAGAGGTGGGGGGGTGGGAGGTTGGGGGAACCAGGTGGTGGGTATTAAGGAGGGCACGGATTGCATGGAGCACTGGGTGTGGTACAAAAACAATGAATACTGTTACGCTGAAAAGAAATAAAAAATTAAAAAAAAAAAAGATAATGGTTCTAGGAAACCTGCCTGAAACTCTCAGCCTCTTACCTACTAGTCATTTAAAGATTTCTTAAAGAGTACTGGAGATCGTACCTTAGATAATGAAAGTGTTGTTTTTACCACACCTCCCTACCTCCTCCCACCACCCAAATCACTTAATAAAAGGAACAATTTTTCCTAATTGAAGAGAGAGGATAATCTTCTGTCTGCCTGCCGACTGTTGGGTGGAAGTAGCCTGACCAAATGCAAAGTGAGGCCAGCTGAACTCTAGAAGTAAACTTCGGAAAGCAAAATATATTTAAAAGGGGGATAAAGTTGGCAAACTTGCAGTACGTCTATAGAAAGAAGCAGTTCTCTGAAGAGCTTGTCATTTCATCTTATAGTGGTTAGTGGGGAGGTATGGAAAGGTATATTTACAACACCGAGTTTGGATTTTGTTCTTTAGGTGCTCGACAGGGAGAAGAAGGTGTATGATCTAACTTAGAAAGTCGGATTTGGGGGCGCCTGGCTGGCTCAGTGATTAAGTGTCTGCTTTCGGTTCAGGTCATGGTCCTGGGATCAGGTCCTGCATCAGGGTCTCTGCTCATCAGGGAAACTGCTTCTTCCTCTCCCTCTGCCCTTCCCCCTGCTTGGGCTTTCTGTTAAATAACTAAATAAATAAATAAAAACTTAAAAAAAAAAAAAAAAAAAAGAAGAAGAAAGAAAGCCCGATTTCCTTGTGCTGGCCCATTTCTAAACAGGCGTACTCATGGTGGAGGCAAGCCATCCCAAGTGTGGGCAGGATTTATCTTCTGACAGTCTGGTCACATCTCTGCAACTGAGTCCTAGTAGGAATACAGTTTGCTGGGGGAGGGCAGGGAGGAGAGGCACATTCTAATGCCTCTAGCTTCTCAATGACTGTTTAAAACAATGTCAATGGCTTCTTTTTTTTTTTTTTTTAAAGATTTTATTTCTTTGTCAGAGAGAGATCACAAGTAGGCAGAGAGGCAGGCAGAGAGAGAGGAAGAAGTAGGTTTCCTGCTGGCTCATCCCAGGACCCTGAGATAATGACCTGAGTGGAAGGCAGAGGCTTAACCCACTGAGCCACCCAGGCACCACAATGTCAATGGATTCTAAGTGAAAACATGGCCACAATGAAAGTATATAGTTGTAAAGAAAATGATTTATTTAATGCCAAAGGCATGATGCTGCCCATTTCTGAACAAAATTCTAAAATTTCTAGTTAGAAACATTCTAGAATTATGTTTAAAAAATGTTTCTACCTTAAAAACAAACCAACCTGGGGCACCTGCGTGGCTCAGTCAGTTAAGTGCCTGCCTTTGGCTCAGGTCATAATCCCAGGGTCCTGGGATCGAGCCCTGCATCAGGCTCTCTGCTCAGCAGGGAGTCTGCTTCCTCCTCTCTCTCTGTCTATATGATCTCTATCTGTCAAATAAATAAATAAAATCTTTAAAAAAAAAAAAAACAAACCAACCAGGTGTGCCTGGGTGGCTTAGTCGGTTAAACGTCTGACTCTTGGTTTCAGCTCAGATCATGACCTCAGGGTCGTGAGATCGAGCCCCATGTGGGGCTCTGCATGGAGCCTGTTTCAGATTCTCTTTCCCTCGCTGCCTCTGCCCTTTCCCCTCCCCCTAACCGCTCCTGTGCGTGTGCACTCTCTCTAAAAACAAAAATAAAAATACATTTTTACCCAAGCTTAATGTTTTTTGTGTTTACTACCTTATCTTTCTATGTGAGCAAGGGGGCCCAGAATGTTACCAGGGGAATGGTGGCATCTTGTCCCAGAGACCAAGGCGGTCTTTGGTTCCCCCAGGAACATTCCACCTGTGACAGCTTCTATTGTGTCACTGGCGGCTAGGAAGGCTGTGCTTATACCCCCCAACACAGAGAAGCCTTCCCCTTGGACGGGGAGGCGGGCCGGCTGGCTGCCGGGGCATACCTGCTGGGTGCTGAGAGAGGTGCACAGGGAGCAGATGGCCTCTGCGTCCTCCGGGGTTTTCTTCTTTAGCTGCAGGAGCTGGGCTGCTTGGATCAGGGGTTCCATGGTCTGGACGGCTCCGCTCTGGTGAAGGTTCCTTCCCCGAAGCCACTCTTCAAGCTGGCTTATGTTGTACCTTAGACACAGGTCAAAGGGAGCCGAGTTAGGCCAGACTCCTAAGGCCCGGAGGCGAGCACACCTGGCGTGCCTGTGGTACCACCCAGCTGCAAACAGTGGGATCATTCTCTTCACCCTCACCAGCTCACACGGAGCAAATCTTGAAGAGCACTTTGCTGAATGAACACAGCGACGAATCGGTGTTTAAAATCAAGCAAAGCTGAGGGACATGAAGTGTCTGTGTATTTGATCTACTGAACTGAAGCGATTGGTACTTCACCTTCACAAACATAGTTCTACGCGGGCCTTCTCGAGTCTCTAACCTCGCCGAGGTTTCCCCCTGACCTACCCACACTGTCTTTACAGTCTTTAGAGTGCGTCAACGTCGTTAAAGCTCTGAACTCATTTGTTTCCCAGGTTACCGTCTCGGTGTGGAATTCCACCAACAAACGAGCAGGTGATGGAACTGTGTCTCGCACTGACTGTGACAAGGACCGGCAGCTAGGTCTGGATGTCACTGTCAGAGACAAAGGCCCCGGGCTCCGACTCCAGCCTGCGGGGGAGGGCCCCTCCCACCACGAGGCTCGGGCAGGGCGCCCCGCTCCTACCTGAGCTGCATGCCGGTGCTCCACGAGCAGACGTCCTTCCGCAGCAGCAGGTTGTTGAGGGTCACGGCGTTGATCATGTAGAACAGCTGCTTGAACACCTGCAGGATGATCTCAGGGTCCAAGCCCTGGTCTCGCATGACCGTGTGGAAGGAAGTCATCTGGCGGATGACGGCTTCCAGGCAGTAGGAGTTGTCCCCATCCACCATGCTGGAGGAGCGCTTCCGGTAGCCAGTTGGCTTCACACCAGAGAGACCCTGAATGCTCTCATTTTCCAACATGGCGGAGACTGAAAGAAAAGCATGGTTGGAGAAGCTGGTGTGTTCCCCATGAAAGATCTGTTCTTGGACCACTAAGATCATTCAGCGCCTTGGGTTTTGGCGATGGCACCATCCACCGGCATACAATGTTGATGTGCTCAGAAACTCACAGCATTGAGCATCGGATTGCTAATGTGTTGGAATCTATATGGAATGAGGTTTGCCTATAGAAATCTTGGACCAAATTTGTGCTTAAATTCATTAGTGATGGGACAAAGATAATGGGCACGTACCAACTCAGTTCTGTACTGGTTTCTGCGCTAAGTACAAAGTTTGAGAATTGAGCATCTTGGGTATAGTACCGGCCCAGCCCTTGACTTGGCCTTGGACCCTGAGATCATCCTACTCGTTTTCAAAAGCTCTTTTCCATGAGGCACTGACCATATAAATTTCAGGTTAGCTGGTCTTATTACACTTTCTACCCAGTGTTTAACCATGTGTCTGGGGCTTTATACTCGGTATTTCTTTCCATCTCCCAACAACCCATTTCCTGGTGACAAAACTGAGGCACACAAAAGTTAAAATTACTTGCCCAAGATCACACCACTAGGAGTCAGCAGGGCCAGGATTTGAACCCAGGTGTGTCCAACTCCAGAATTGTTGCTATTAGCCATCACATGATTTGGAATCACGAAGCACCCCCAGTGTTCTCTACGCCCTGTGCCTCATAAGAAGGTTCTCAGGAATAACAATGTGGAATGAGCCTTATGCTAGATAAGGTTCTGGATGGCATGAAGTGCTCTGTCCAACTTGGAATCTACATACAACCTATCTGTGTTGTAAGAACCCAGGGGAAAGCTTTACAACACAGTCACAGGGGACAATTTCCTCCCCAGCCTTCTTGGAGCATCCTGAGTGATGTGTGGATGTGTCATTCCTGACTCAAAAAACAACAGGCCTCTCATGTTTCAATTCTGATTTATTGCTAAGTGCCCAAGTCTACTGCTTTGGACAGAGTGTTCTGTAAGTACTTACTGTATGAGTACTTGCCACTGTGTTTCTTCACGTGCACCTGCTTAATGCTTTTATTTTTTTCATGAATAAAGTACACATATGGGCATAAGGATTATATTTTTCACTCTATATGCATTGATAACCTTTTGGATTTATATGGAAGACTTCATAGCTCTTCCTGAGCACACAACACACACCTCCTTGCTGCCTTCAGTGGGAAGGTTCTAGTTTTTTGGAAGCCACACCTAAGGTACAGGCTTCCCTGACAGCAGGCGGTGTTCACCATCGTTTCTGACCCCACAGTGAGTGCTGGAGATCTGCTGCTGCCAGCTTACCTATCATAGGCTGCAACACACCCTCGGCGATTTTAATGAGCTGCTGGTAGATCTGAATGGAAAGGTCACTCAGCACCTGGCGGTATTCGGTGAGGTCAAAGTTCTTAAGACAGTGCTCATTCTGCTTGGGTGTATTCTGAGTCATGAAGCCCTGCAGAGAGAAAGGGCATTTGAAGGAGGCTGGGCGGTCTGCCAGGGCTCAGCAGGACTTCCGGGTCTCCCTCTCGTCCTTGACACCCTATCTGTGGAGTTCCACCAGCCTCTGTTAACATGATGGTCCACAAGAGCCTGTCAGTTCCTTGAGGCCTCAGTGGGGGGGCCCCTGAATCTGAAGGCAGAGCAAAACCTCAGCATGATAGAGAAGTCGGAGCTGTTGGAATTAAAAGGCCCAAATCACTTAGTCCACATCTTGAGGTGATTTCCCTGCAGCAGCGGACCCAGCTTGGTAGCAGGTCCAGGGAAAGAGGCATCCGACCTGAGTCTTTGTCCATCTCTCCTAACAGGCCAGGATACCTTACAGTGTGAAATACACAGCCACGGAAGGAGTACGGCCGGGTCAGATGATGCTTTTATAATGGGAAATTTTACATGGATTCTATTGTTGGATATCAGAATTAATAGACAAATGGAAATGATCTCACAGCTACAGCACCTTGTCCCCTTAGCTTTCTAAATGAACAAGAGGAAATAACGTTGTCGAGAGTTGCTAGTATCGAGAGGAGTCGGGGGACCCAATAGCCCTTTGTATTCAGGCCGAGGTACACCAAGGGTAGCCAGAAAGATCAAGTCTTCCAAAGAGTGACCATCCCCAGCAAAGTCTCTCAAACCAGGTCCCATTACAAAGCATTTTTAAATAAAAACTAAAAAGCAGGTGAAAGAAGGAATCACTGTGACAGCTAAGATACATATTTTTCTCCATCTTTATTTACACTACACCGATCTGGCTATACTGTGCTTCGGGTCTTATGCCCCCACCAATATATTATTTTGAATAAAAATGAAAAAGGAAGGGCATAAAGGAAAAGTGGAGGCACCCTCTCAGCCCCCGCCAGGGGCCTGGGAGTGGTGTCTGGGGTGAGGTGGAATTTTTACTGGAGAAGCCAGAGTGAGGACATGGCCTGGATCACCGAGCTATGGGGCTAAATGCAGAGTGTGGGCACAGTTCTTCAGGGACCAGTACTGGGAATGGTGGGTTCCAGACGAAGCTGGGCTCTCGAGAGCCAGAGCAAGATAGGAAATAATGCAATCAGTTGGGCTGCAGGTCAAGGAATCAAATTTGGTTAGAAGTAAGAAGCTGGGCCTCCAGGTCAAGGTGTAAAAATGTGGTCTCATCACATTGTGCCCCTTCTTGGCGTCTGCCTTAAAATGGACAAACTACTGGTTGGCTTAAAAGACAGTCTCACGCATCAGACAACTGACCGGGCTTTCTTCCGGCGTTCAAGGAAACAGGGCTCTTCCATGGATGCTTCTGAAATTTAAGGTCACAAGGCTCTCCCTGGAGAGTCCCAGGGGTTCTCAGATAAAGGATGGGTCACGTAAACTCATTTCCCCACCATTCTACTTATTTGATTCCAGGTGCTTTCTGGGGCTGCTGGGATCCTCAAGGCCACCTAGAGGACAGGTGTGCTGTGGCCTGCCTATCCCTGAGTCTAGCTACCAGGTAGAGGAAGGTGTGCCCTGAGCCCGAGGTCCCAGCGGGCTCTGGACAGACCTGACATGCTCTCCTCAGGGTAGAACCGCATTTGGACAGAGCGGGGCTGCCCTCCATGACAACCCAGTCTCTGAGCTGACATCTGCTCTGTAGCAGGACACACATTGCTCTGTCCAAGGAAGCGAGAGCCTGGCAGGGGATCTGGGGTGCTTTAATGGTTTTTGAGTGCCCTTTAGGCGTTGGGTTATCTCAGCACGCACCTCATCCCCGCTGTACTGCTTCAAGCAGTGAAGGAGGCGGCAGGTGTTGGATAACCAGAATGATGTCATCTCGAAGTCCTCGTTGTGCTTCTGTGGAAAGAAAAAGACATCCCTCGTTAGTAGGGGCTCCCATCTGGTTAAACACTCACCTGCAACCTGTCTTTCCAGGTTTCTAGAATTACTCAGCATGCCCCAAGCAGACACGATGGCCCATCACGAAGAGGAGATCCACTGTCCAGGGGCTGTGTTACCATTCCTCCACTGCTGGGAGGGGCACAGAGGCCCCCACCCTGGTTTCCTGAGCAGTGGTGCACCCCTGTGCAGCCCTGGGCTGTATGCTGAGCTCTGGGCAGCTGGCCCCGGCAGGCTCCAAACCATCAGCGATCCAACCCAGGAGATGGGAGGAGCACGCCAGTGAACTATTCTGGCACTCCATTTATTGAGAGCAGATGTCCAATGGATTCAACCCTCTGGAAAATGACTATAAAGCGCAACTTGGTAAAAAAGGCTGTTGCACAGCCCAAAGAGCTGAGACACAGCTTCTGCCCTAAGGCCGATGACTGCACAGAGTTCGTTTTGTCCGGTAACACTGCCCCTGTTTAAACGTCAGAGATGGAAGCTTCGATGGCAATCAAACAAGGGGGTCGGACGGAGAGTGACGGGTAGGGCTGGGCATGCCGGCGGAGCCTGGTGATGAGGGAGGGTTTTCCTGAGGCAGTGACCTCTCAAGTCAGCCTTCGACTTGCCCAGACCAGCACAAGCGTCTGGACGAGCTCGAGTGAGGGGTCGAGGCAGGAGACTCAGACCCAAGAGTTACCAGCATGTCCGTTCAGAGCCAGGAGCGGATAAAATTGGGCAGGAGGTGCGGTAACTGAGACACAGCTGGCGCGAAGCCAGAAGCTACAGGCTGGTGCGACACACTCCCAGAAGGGTGGGGGGCAAGTGACAGTGGTCTAGACTCCGTGCTTCTGCCACACCGCAGAGTGGCAGAGTGGGTGAGAACGGAGGGCGGTCTCAGAGCAAGGCTCTTGGGGTGCGGGCCTGTGCCGAGGCACAACTCTCTCTCACGGAGGGCTGATCTCCCTCACAAAGCTTACCTCTCCCCATAGCTTCTATGTGGCCCGGCCTCTCCCCTCCCTGCAGGCCAGCCTCCTTCTGCAGAGACTGTCACTACACTGGTAAGGGGCCTCGTGCCTTTAGGTGGAGTTCCTCCAGTGAGGGCCCCATAAGCAGCCCTGTCCCGGCCCGGGGCCTCCTCACTTCGGAACCTGATAAATGTTTATACCTTCCTTGGGCCACTGCCCTGCCTGGGCAGCAGGCACCCAGCTCCTCGGAAAGGTCTGGGAGGACGTCTCTATTCAGGTTGTGTTCCTGCATGGCACTGCAGGGCAAGGTCAGCCTGCCCTGGAGTGGAGCACGGCATCCTCCTGGCACCACAGGTCAAGGCTTTTGAAAGCCCCAGGGTTCCCTGGAGGCGGCTGGACAGCAACACTGGATTTCTGGGCGTCCCACCGTTTCTGAGCCTGAGCATCCTGGCTCCGCGGGCGAGCTGCGTGGCTATCACCCGCCTTCAGAGCTGGAGACTCGAGGAAAGCCCAGACAGGGCCGAGCTATGGGGAGCCATGGGCTCCGTCCCATGGGCGTCCCTCCGTCCGCTGCCAACCACCATCTCTGGCCCGGGGCACCTACCTTCAGGACTTTCTTAATGCCGTTGATGGTGGAGGTCAGCAAAGAGTGCACCTTGAGGTCATCGTTGACGTAATCGGCGTGCCTGATGCACATGTAGAGGACGTAGGCAGGAAGGCAGGGCACGGTGCCCGCCAGCGTCTGCGGCTTCAGCTCTGACAGCAACAAACACCAAGAGTTAGACTCTAGCAGATGCCTGGGGCTCTGAGAACCTGCTCTGACATATTTTCTTTCCTCTTTTTCTTTTTTTTTTTTTTAAAGATTTTATTTATTTATTTGAGGGAGAGAATGAGCAAGAGGGCACACAAACTGGGGGAGAAGCAGAGGGAGAGAGAGACCCGGACTCCTTGCTGAGCAGGAAGCCTGACGCGGGGCTTGATCCCAGGACCTTGAGATCATGACCTGAGATGAAGGCAGACGCTTAGCTGACTGAAGCACCTAGGTCGCCCTGAAATAGAAATATTTTCAATATTTTCCTGGAGCTCCTCTAAGAGTAACCTTTCAAGGGGCCGGGTGGCTGGAGGAGGAGTAGGGGAGAAGCTGTCAGGGATACACAGACACCTTCTGACCCTGAGTACTAGTTTCAGAAACTAGTTAAAAGCCCCAAACTCACAAAAGCACATTCCTCATTGTTTGGACCAGAACAATAAGACAGGCTCCTAATGCCTGGTCCTTAGAACATGAAGGAGAAGAGCCCACAGGTAGCAGCTCTCTGCCGGGTTTCCACACAGAGGCCCGGGCCCGGGGCCAGCCGCAGGGAGGAGCCAGCTCCCCAGCCAGTGAGGGAACTCGGGGCGCCTCCTGCTGCAGGCACCCCGGACTCTCCCACAGCGGACGGCGAGAGCAGGTTTGGGAGAAGCTGGCAGACCGCAAATTCCCAAAGCCAGTGCCCGCACGCCGGGGCCCGGAAGGCCACAGGGACCTTTAGCCCACTTAACGTCCGTTTGGAAACTATGCACTTCGCAGCAGCTGCCTAGACCTCCTCAGAGCCAGGAATAGATCAAGTCGGCTGCTGAGTGGCCACGGCCATTCCCCCACCCCCCCGAGGGCCACAGTGTGACACCGGTCTCACCAGCCTCTCCACTGACGGGTGGCCTGACCTGTGTACAGCTTGTCCTGTCTTGGGCTGTCCTATCGTGACCCGAGTACCGTGTCCTATAGACTCACGTGGTCTGCCCAGCTAAGTGTTAGCGTCTGGGGCAGGACCAATGGCTCGACATGTCTCTATCCTCCACAGCATCCAGCCCGTGCCAGGGACCTAGGAGGAGGTCTGATGGAGTCTTGGCATTTGTTTGGCTGAGAGGGAAGGGGACTGGGTGTGACATGCAGGCAGCTTAGGGGTAGATGGCCTCGTCTGGGGCTGCCTGAGCGGGGACAGTGGGGAGGAGCCGCCGTCTGCTGGCACAAGCAGTCCCATTAGTTTTGGACTCTACTGTTGGGAACTTTGACTTTCATTCCCCAGAGATGAAAGGCTCATTCCTAGCAGCCTTAGAATCAGATGCCGCCCGCTGAAGGAAGAGGGGCTTCCCGTCAGATTGCCGGGCAGCTCTAGGGGGAATTAGCCTTTAGGAAAAGAGCCAAAGCACTAGTCACTGGAAATACCCAACACAAAGAACGGAGGGAAAATCTGCCCTAGGCTAGAGTCATCCTAGCTTCCACAGCCCTCGGCAAGCTGCTCAGCAGGGTGGGACTTTGGCAAACTCACATTTCTCTAAAACAACCTCCACCTCCTAGTTGACCATCCAGTGCCCCTACAAGAAGCAGCCACTTCACCTTGTCACACTGAGAAGAGTCTGTGACTTCAGCCTAGCACTTTCTCCGGTCATATTTCCCATCTATTGTATCTCGCACGTCTGCATTTTACGGAACACCTAAGGCTCCAAGTAAAGAAGCTTGTGGCTCAGGGTCCAGAGAACCGTCTACCCAAGATTCTTCCCTTTTTTCACCCAGGACTCTCTCCTCCAAGCCTCCTCCCGCTACTCTGCAGGCAGCTGCTGGACTGGGCTGGGCTGGGCAGAAAGGCAGGCCTGGGGAAGCCAGCTGGAGCAGGACCAGAGGGGAGGGAGCCGGGCCACGTGGCAAACCAGGCTGTGGCTCGGGGTGGCAAGGAGAGCCGCACCCAAGAGCCTGGCATGTGGTCCCCATAGCATCACAGCATGAGCATGGCCTGGGTGGGGGTGTTGGGAGCTGGGTAGAGAAGCAGCCGTGTGAAGGGAGGGTGACAGAGAGCCAAGGATGGGTGGGAGGTGGTGGGGTGCAGAGTGGGGGGTGGGTTATGCTGGGTTGGCCATGCAGTTGGGGAAGGAGCTGTGTGGGGGTGGGATGCCACAGAGGGTCCCGACCTGTCACCAGGTTCCGAATGAGAAGGGCCTCGTCTTCCTTGTGGTACTCCAGCATGCCCTGGAAGTCCTTCTCCTTCCGTTGGACGGTGACCTGCCTGTTGAGCTCATGTCGCTTCCGCTCACTCTGGGCCAGTGCCTGGGTGGCTGGGCAGGAAAGAGACAGGGAGCATGAAGAGAGAGCTCCAGGCTGCAGGCCCAAGAGGTGGGGGTGCCTTAGGTCAGTGGTGCTTTGCTCTGGGGATCCAGCGTTCCACACCCCTCACGTGATCTGTCCTTGCAGCCCAGACCACACTCCAAGGGGCTTAGCACCAGGCACTGGGGGCCCCCCAGGATAAGAATTCAGAATGAATGAATGATAGGTCTTCAAGACTGAATGAGAGAGAGAAGCCTGAAGCCTGAGAGGCCAGGAGAAGGAGAACTCAAAGAGAGCAGAGAGATTCAGGGATGGAGAGGGGCTGAGCAGAACACATAGCCTCTCCTCCCAGATCCTCCTCTAAAGCAGCAGGTGGACATAACCAGGTGAGTAAGCAAATGACACCCATGCTGGGTGCTGTGCCCAGAGGCACTTGGTATTAGGACGAGAGATGGGACTCAACCCTGGGGACACAGCTCTTGAGATGAGAGTAAAAGGATGGGGGGGGGATCCAGGCGGTGGGGAGACCCAGAGAGGATTCCACGCCAGGTGGCATGTGTCAAGAAGGACTGGGGCTGACAGATTTATAGCAAGGAGTCAGAGAAAGCACATTCTGGATGTTTCTGGAAGAAAATCTAAAACTGCCTGACCTCTCTGGGCCAGATTCCAGGTTAGAAATTTAATCACAGGACTGACCCTGTTCCTTCCTGACTACCTGTCACATGGAGTGAGGCCCCTGTGGTCGGGGTCTGTGTGTTATGTAGCATTTTTCCCCACACCAAAAAGCTTTGCCTCCCAGCTCCCTTGAGGGCAGGGCCACAGGGCCACGGTCTCAGTGCAGAGCTCAGAGGAAGCACCCAAACACCTGCTGGCTGACTGATCTTCGTCCAGATTCCAGCCACCTGAGAACGTGTGAGCCTGTGGGGTCTGACTTGGTCTATCCCGCGGCTGGACTGGGCACAGGCACCAGAGGACGGGGGAAGCAGGAAGAGCCTGCAGAGGGAAGTGGGCCGTCCGTTCCCTTCCCTCACTCGTGACTGAGCACACACACACACCCTCTCTCTCTCTCACGGGCCTTACCTTCTAGGTCCTGGACCTTCTTCATGTAAATTTTCAGTTGTTTCTTGAGCTTCTTCTCATTCTTTTCCAGTTTTTCTACCAGTTCTTTGAGGTCCTAAAATCAGAGGGAAGCAGTGTGAGAACAGACCTAACCCGGCCCTGGAGGGCAGGGGCTAGAATCCTGCAGCCCAGGATGGCCCTCGGTGGCCACCAACCCCAGTCCTAAACCCTTGCTGAAGGGTGGTTTTTAGATTCCGTTCCTGCTATGGGGCCAAAAATGCAAACCTGGCCCATTTAGCTAAAGGCCATCGCTGGCTCCAACAGTTTCCAGAACGTGACTTTCCAGAGTGCGATCCGATGGGCAATATCACTCACCAGGTTCTCGTTGGTCAGCCGGGAGATCTCCTGCTGGACACCAAACTCCACCTGGGCCTCCGGGGACAGCAGCAGCGTCTGGCAGAAGGTCTGCTGCTGCTTGTCCAGCTCCTCCTTCAGGGCTTCCACCTGCCCCTTGAGGCCCTCCACCTCCTCCTCATGTTCGCGGCTCTGGGCCTGCAGCTGTGCCTCCAGCAGCCTGCACCAGGGCGAGGGGGGCCGGTGACCGTGGGGCTCAGGTTGGCGCCCCACGTGAGGGGCCACAGACGGACACACAACGGGGAGCAGCCAAGCACACAGCAGCAGCAACTGCACAAACCCAATGGGGAAGATGCCGAGGGAACAGTCTGGCAAGCAGCCCAGCCCGTCCCGTCCGAGGATGGGAACTCGGAGCCAAACGCGCACCCCTGGTCCGGGGCCTTTTCCTTGCCACCCCCTCCCCCATTCCGTTCCTCATCCTACGCAGGCAATTGGTTTGGGATTGAGAGATTGTCTCCGTGTCAAATTGCCATCCACAGAAATAAATTTCTTACAGCATCATTTACAGAAAAGTATCCACATCTGCGCCAGCTTCTCAAGAATCTCCTTGTTAAGACAAAAGCCTAGTAGACTCAACTAGTGCCTGCGTATTTCCTCTATCCTAGATTATCTGCCTGTCTTAGAAAGGCAAAACCCGAGCACCCTTTTTCTCGTCACCAGCACCTCCACTTTGTCTGCGGCCATAAATACACAAATTTTTCTCTAGTCAAAACAGAAATTAAGACTCCTGGCGAACCATCTGGGGGAAGGTTTCAGATCAGCTGCTGTCATGAGCAGAAGCAGAACAATCTTGAGAAGATCTGGGCAAGGTTGGCGAGAAGTCTCAGAAGACTCTGAGTCTGAAAGGTCCCCAGGCAATTCTGGGAGATGCCTGTTCCATCCGTCATGAGAAGGCAAGGGATTCTCGAAGCTTCCCAAGCAGCTTCCTCCTCCTCGGGAAACACCAATGGGAATGAGGTGCTACCTTCTTGGGCTCAAGAGCAAATGTTCTGATTCAGGGTAGTGAACATCATATGAAAGAAAGGTAGGATGTTCTGGATGAAAGGTACACCAAAAGCTGTCTGACCAGACCCACATGCTCGAAAATTCTCTTTGGTCTCTCCCAGGGATGCCAAGACAGTGACCAGAGCTTAGAGTCAGGAACCTGGAAGTGCCTCAGAAATGCCAGTAAGAGTCCCCAGCTGCCCTGGAGACATGTTTTTTGTTTTGTTTTGTTTTACAGTTGTGCTAGTTTGGCCACAAGAGAGGAGGGACCAAGTTGCCAAGGGAGCGAGAGATGGGGAGTCTCTGCTGTCAACGCCCCCATGGCTGTGCCCATGTCTTTTGTAGCTCAGTCAGTTCCACAGTGACACGGGGAGCAATGCCCGACTCCCAGGGGCTTCTCAACAGATTCATACAAGTGAAGAAATGCTGGAAGAATGACTGAATCACCCACGCCACGCGCAGCGTCATCAGCTGAAAGCACAAATGACGTGAGGATTAGGGGGAAGAGCTCTGTGATTAAATTAGCATTTTAGAGGACATAGGATATTTAGAGAGCATCCACTCTTGGCTACAATACACTAAAAGCATCACCAGAAAGCTATAAACGTCTCAAGAGAGAACAGAAACTACTAGATTCTCGGGAGTCCCCCTCAGGATTCGGTTCCTGACTTGCGCTGTGAGTTTGTGCCGGCAGCTTTCTTATTCTCCATCTAGACTGTAGTTGGGTGGCTTTGGTTCTGGGCAAGATATGAGAAACCCTAGCCAAGCACCGGACTAGGCACACCTCCTCTGAGGCCAAGAGTTCAGAGGTCACAGCCAGTGACGGAGCTGGTTCTAAAAGCCACATCTCCTGATGGATAGGTCTGAGCTTTCACTTTTGTTAATGCATTCATTTGCTTATTAAAAAAAAAAAATCCAATCTGCTGATAGAGAGCCACAAGGAATCACCTGGTTTTACATGGGGGTTCCCTCCCCAATAAAACAAACTTCTCGTTGGGACAGGTCTTACTGAATAATGGTCATTATAACAGAAATGTCAGATAATATGGGTCCTGTGCTTACTACGTGCCAGGCACGTGCCAAAATGCTCCACCTGTCTTAACCCTATTCCTTAGAATGACTCCATGAGGGAGGTCCCATTCTGGTCCACATCAGAGCAGCGAGGGAAGAGACCGAGGTCCCCTTGCTCACAGGCAGTGGGGCCACTTAGCAACCTAGAGCCAGGAGGCACGCTGCCTCAAGGACCAGCTGACCTGGACTTTCTTCTCCCAAGAACAGATTCTTGTTGCTGTAATGGGCCCTCCAGCAGGTCATGGGCAGGTAACACTTTGGAGGTACTATGGGAGGGCATCGGGTTCCCACCCGGCCCTACCACCGCCAGGCTGAGGGGCCTGGGCCAGCATGGACTCCACTGCCACGGCCTCTTCTGGGACACAAGCCTGTGGACCATCACTGCTTTGGTTGTTGGGGGGCTCAAATGCGCCAAGCTATGCCACAGACCCGAAGGGCCACATGCGGGCAGCCAAAGTGGGATAGGACCACCACATGGTGCATGTCTAACCTCCCTTGGTAAACTGCTCACCCACAGCTCAAGGCCAGTGGCTTATTCAGATTCTGGTACCACATGGAGGATTCAGGTTCTAGATCTTCCACTGAAGTGGCAAGTTCCTTGAATCCTGGAAGCATCAGTGTCCTGACCCCAGGAAGGTTCCCCTGAGCCTTCAGCTGCTGTCGCCTAGACCCATATGAGCAGCTCCCTGGGCCTCATCCACACAGAGCCCGGACACAGAGCGCCAGCCAAGTTACCCGAGGGGCAGCCCACGGCACCCCCGAGACTCAGGCCCTGGCCTCCACTCCAGGTGAGAGACAGGTAAGCGTAGACACGAGCAGGCGGGACAGACAGAGCAGGCACAGGCAGGAAGGCGTATGCGTGACCTGGCAACTTGCTTTAGGCCTTGGTAGGCCAAGCCGAGCTCTCCATCTTCATTCAAATATCCCCAATCCTCAGTCTTGCTAGAAATAAAGGACAAAAAAACAGGGCATCGAGTGTAGAGGGAAGAGACAGGGAGGAAGAACGTCCAGGAAAGTGAGGCCAAACATTGGAAACCAAAAAAAAAAGGAAAAGCTCGAGAACTCCTAGCTTCCCTTCTTCCTTTGCGATCACCAGCACCTGAGCGCCTAAGAACGTCCCTGTTCCCCAGGCCGGGTCTCAGAAGGGGGTTCGTGCGCTCTCATGGGGGATTGTGGATCAGGATGGGAGCCAAAGGCTGCACTTGCCCCAATAAATTCTGTGAACAGCAGTGGTCGTCCCCCCCCCCCCCAGAAGGATTCAGAAAAGGAAAGAGAATAAGGAGACCTGCAACCAGGGCAGGGAGGCAAGGCCTGCGCTCAGTAGAAGCCCCAGAGGGCCTCCAGGGAGGCGGCATCTGCTGTGCTCTGACCAGGGACACGAGGCTCGGTGACACCGAGGGAGACAGCTCCACCGCTGTCTGCTTTTCAAGGCCGTTCTCCACTTTGTCACTAAGGATGCAAAAGCATCAGCTCATCTCACCTCTAGCCCTCACCGCAGTTGCACATAAACCATGAATAAAAGCCAAACAGGATGCCTGCGGAACTTTCTCTGCCCCCACCCCAGGGACTGGGTGGCATCTCTCCTATTCACTCAACCTGGAAAGCAGATGGCCAGCTGCCGTCTCCTTGCAAATCCTTTGACCCTCCCCAGGGGCCCAGTGCCTGCCTATTGCCAGATGAGTCCCTCTTGGAGGTCAGGCGCATGCTCCCTATACCCCCAGCCATGTACCTCCCCGAGGCACACACAGGAGATCCCCAAGGGCCGGTGGGAGGGGGCTGTAGGCCGCAGACTGAGCCTCTCCCACCTGCCAGGAGGCTGCCCCCGACTCTCTGTGTGGGGATCCTCCTCGTGCTGGCTGGATCCCAATTTTCCTGGCAGGAATCCTGGAGGAGCAGTAGGCAGTGTGCAAGGATCGGCAACCCCGTCCTCACAGCAGGGAGACAATCTTCACCCGGAGGAGTGGAGCTGCTGTGTTGCTCCTGCTGGGTGCTAGGTGAGGTCTGGGGGAGTAACTACCCTGATACCCCCTCCCCGGAGCGCAACCTCATGAAGGGCGGCCCCAGGCCTTGGCAGGGCTCACACAAGCTGCTTCTAGAGGGAAGCCGGTCATGCGGCTCCTAGATCCCACCCTGAGAAGCTTGAAGGAGAGGGAAGGGGCAGGGACCACCGGGAGCATGCGGGCTCCACGCCTTCCTTTCAGGGCTGTGCTGCCTCCCGCTGGGCAGTGAGCGGATTACTGCCAAGAAGTCCATCGTGGGGGCCTCTCCTCTTTAGGACTCTGGCTCCTCAAATGTCCAGAGTTCTCACGGAGGCCTGGCCTCCCCAGAGACTGCGTTGACTGGAGACTTTGAGCCGTCCCCTCCAGTTCCTAGCACGGAACTCACCTGTGTGTTCCACTTATCCCAGCAAATCCAAAAGGGACCCTGGCCATGTCAAGTGGGAGCTGGCAGCCTAGCGCCCATCCCTTCTCAGCTCCTACCACATTTAACTAGGGCGGTCAGTAGCCAGTACTTTGCTCACCAGGAACGCGGGACCTTTTCCTTCACCTTGTTTGCCATGAGTGAAGGGACCCCAAGAGGGAGAGGACCTGCCTGGCCCGGACAGCCACCCACCCTGGCTGGCCCTCCAGATGCCCAGGCGGAGGGAGGGGGCTGCTGGCTCTGGCCGGGAGGGTCACGGTGTTCCTATAGTTCCCGTGATGGCACACGGAGTCCCACCTCTCACACTCTGGCGGGTGCCTGTGCGTTGCTGAGTTACACAGAGAGGAAGTTAGCATTAATCCCTGTTCCGAGGGAGACGCTCTCAGAATTCTTAATTCTGGAACAGGCCGGGCATGATGCACAAAGATAAAAGTAGAGACTGTGCGGGCCAGTCATCACACAGTGCTCAGGAAGTCGGGCACGCCGGCTAATGAAAATGCAGTCAGCTAGCTCAGGTCCGAGCCTTTGTTCCTGGATGAAAGAGGTCCAGTTCCTCCACGGGGACTCTCTCTCCCCTTCTAGGGCCCTCATGGGGGGAGGCCCAGGAGGGAGCGCCACCTAGTGGCAGGAGAAGGAAAACCCAAATGCCAGCTTACGGGAATTTTTAAAAAATAAAGTACAAGGGGCGCCTGGGTGGCTCAGTGGGTTAAGCCGCTGCCTTCGGCTCAGGTCATGATCTCGGGGTCCTGGGATCGAGCCCCGCATCGGGCTCTCTGCTCAGCAGGAAGCCTGCTTCCCTTCCTCTCTCTCTGCCTGCCTCTCTGCCTACTTGTGATCTCTCTCTGTCAAATAAGTAAATAAAATCTTTAAAAAAAAAAAAGTACAAGAGGTCAATGAACATATCAACAAACATTCAAGGAGGATGGGCTGGGTACACACCACTGTGCCAAGCTCCATTCCCGGTGAGCCTACAGACACACTTGAGCAACCAGCAGGTAGTTTCCAAGTTGCTCCAAGAAGGCAGCAAGACCACACAGAGGAACCCGGCTGGAGAACCAGGCACCCCAAAGGCGTGGTCGTGGTTGTCGCCTACATGTCCTGGACCTGTTTCATGTGTAAAATGAAAGTGCCCCGCTGACTTATCTGAGGTTCCTTCTAGATCTTTAATGACATAATCTTGTTCACTGTAAAGCTCATGCAGCCGAAAAGGCGTGGGAGAGTATTTGCTTTCTCTCTGTGGATGCTGTCCACAGAGTCCTGTCAGGACTTTGACCCAACCGCCATCCCTCTGTCCTGGCTGGAGGCCCTGCCTCCTTGTGAACGGAAACAGGCAAGGTTCCTAAGAGCAAGAAAATGGTCGGTTTCCAGTCTCTAAAAAACTGGAAAATGTCCTGCTCCACGGATGTCCTTATTTCTGTAGCTCACAGCTGGATGTTCTGCCCAACTGTCCAGGATGCTTCCCACAATCTCTGAGAATAGGAGGCCGTAACCCCAGCACCATGAATGAGAGAAATGTCTGAGCTGCAGGCAGGGCCCGGGAAGGTGAATTGTCTCGGGATAAATAGGGCCATGCCTCTGAATTACAGCAGATAGGAACTATGCTGATGGTTTGGGACCCAGTGAATTTTGGGAACACTTATGAGGGAATCATCGCCCCACAGAGTTCCCAGCTGGTAACAGTGACAGTGAGGATTCAAGGAAGGGAGTTGGGGAGGCTGAGGCTCTCTTCTCCCTCCCTCCTTTGCTGTGTGAGCAAGACATCCCACAGCAGCTGGGGTTCAGGCCCAAATGAGCCATGAACGCCAAGCCTATCCTAAGAAATGTGCACACACCCTTTTCTGGTTAAACAGGATCTCCCCTGTCCCAAGCAGGCTCCTTGTAATAACCCCGGCTTTGCCTGTCCAACAGGCAAAGCTACCTTTTGTGCCAAGGGCCTCCTGTTGTTTCCTGGAACCTGCTGGGTAGAGGGACGGCAAGGTTTCCTGGGACCCAAGCAGAGGTCCAATAATGCACTTTAAGTTTCTCTTTGCACAGACTTGAGTGGAAATAGCCAGCGGCCAAAGGTACACTGTTCCCAGAGCTAGAACTGAGCCCTCACCACACTCCTGCTCCTACCTCACTCTGTGACATGAGCGCACGCGGGGCGGTAAGCCTAGCCTGTTCTGCTACCCACTTCCCCAGGCCTGCCCCACCACACCCTCCAGACACCCACCTGTGTCTGCAACCGCCCACTCCGGGGGCAAGGACTAGCCCTCTCTTTAATTTGATTTTGGCCACAGATGAAATGGTAATAATGTTGCTGATTTCTCTTAGCTCCCAAAACGTGGAAGTGAAAGCCCTTTCTGGAAGCAGAAGAGCCATCCATCTTCCTGCAGTTCCTTCCCAGAACAGACCCTCATTACTGGCTTCTCTCCCAAAGTGGAGAACAAAGAAAGAGGCACAGTCATAAAGATGAAACAGAACTCTATAAACTCTGGAAGTTAGCGCGTGAAAAAAGTTCCAAACCGGGGGACCCTGGACTCTCAGAGGAGCTGTGATTGGGCGTGGGGAGTAGCCCTCCAGAAAGCTAAGCAAAATCCATTGCCTGGGAATGTAAGCTTTTTCTAGGTAGAGGACAGATTTTTGTAACCCCTCCACCCCAAAGCATACATGCATTCATGCAACTTCTGTTCCAACCAGAACACTCCGTTACAGGGAAAGGCTGGGTCTTCGGAGCTCTCTTATGGGCAGGGGCTGCCCTTGTAAGAATTGATGGCCTCACTACCTGGCCCGGGAATCGCCGTCTGCACCCCACTGCCCTGCATGCCCCCCAGCGCTCCTTCCTCAATGCGGCGGTTACCAAACCTCGAAAGGCACAAACCCATCACGGTCTGGTCGGGTCACTTTCCAGCTGTGGCAGGCACTGGGGACCGGGTTCTACAGGCTTCCCTTCATGAGGCAGCTTTCTGTACCTAACTGGGGGTCACGGGCTGGGAGTCCCCTATTGTACCCCAGGCTTGCTGGGAGTGCAATTCTTTTAAGATATAAGAAAAGCTATTTTTACTTTACCACACCATGATTATTGCTGCAAAGGAAGACAAATCCACAGTAAGTAAGCAGCCTCTGGGACTGGATCCCTGACAATCACTTGGGTAAGAAGGGAGCTGACAGCTGCTGAGAGCCACGGTGCAGGTCAGAAGACCCGCACTCGCGCTCCTCCATCAGGGTCCAGCTGGCTTCCTTCCTTCCTTCTTCCTTCTTCCTTTAGTTTCAAATACTACACCTGTGTTCTGTTCTCTTATTCAATGCATTTCTTCACTCAAGATATATTTCAAATGACTAAATCTCGATTCCAGTTTCAGCACCGAGAAGCTCGCCTTCAGTTTCTCCTCTCTCCTTTCGGGGACAGAACCGCAGCCTCCAGGAACGGACTCTCCTCCTGGGGGCCCGCTAAAAGGTCTTCATCTTGTGATTACCTACACAGTACGCTGGGAGCAGCCCAGCCCGGGAGTCAGGCCTTCTGGATCGTATCTCGACTCGGTTTTGGGCTGGCCACGTGCCACAGCCACTCACCCCTTCTGGGCCTCAGTTTCCCTCTCTGCAGAAACGGGGGCTGGAAGACCTAGAAATCGCAGCACTAAGTCTTCAGGTCATTTTGTGACGTTCTCGCTGAAAACATCAGGCTGCATTCCCAGTGACACCTACTGACATTTTCCAGATGTGCTTCCAGTTTTCAACAATTCTGGAAAACGCTTAGTGACTGCTGGGACATTCGGTTGAGGCGAGAGAGAAAGGCAGCCAGGAACAAGGCTGGCTCTGCTCTGACAAGTACCCATGGGGGCACAAAGAGGCAAAGTTGTTAATAATGGCAGTCAGTGTTCTCAGTGCACTACACAGACCAACTCACATGGTCTTCTCCATCACCGTGTGTGAGGTGCACTGCTGGGACTGTCCCCAGTTCAGAGGAGGAAACTGAGGCACGGAGCAGTTGTAAGTTACTGAGGGAGTTACTGCATAGGTAGTAAGCGAGTGGAGCCCAGGGTGCACATTTGCCAGGTGCTCTGCCACACTGCCTGGGGGTCTCCTCCGGGCCCTGCTGCCTCCCAGGGTCACACTCTGTTGCCTTAACCTGGGGGAGCTCATCCTTAAGGAGGGACTAGAGGTTGGTTAAGTAAAATCCAGGGAAAACTCATGGTCGCCCATCGGGCAGTGGTCTAATTCTCCCGTCCAACCTCTGGGGTGTCTAGCTTGGGTTCCAGCTCTTAAATGCTGGGCACTGGGGCCCCCCAGCGGGGTTGAGTCTGGCTGGTATTAAAGCAAAGAGCCGCAGCCGGCCCCTCCCACAACTCTGTTGGGCTCATTTGGCGCAGGCTTCCCCCTCAGTGCAACGAGCCACTCTCACCATCTTCCCCCCTCCTCCTGTCAGCACTCCTTCCAGGGAGGGTCCCTTTCCTCAGGCCTGTTGGAGGGTCTACCTTCTGGAGGCTCCAGCTGTGTTCTTGGAGTCTTGCAGAAGCTAACAAGTGGTTTCCTGAGGGCATGGGATTCAGGGAGTCTGTTCCTTTTCATTTGCCTCCGGTAAAAAGTAAACCCTGATGCTGAAGCACGGGGTCAGTGTCTGAGAAGCAGACATCACGCAGCAGCTTGGGTAAGACCCCTTCCCATCACCTCCTCCAGGCAGAGTTACCGTGAGGTGGGACTTACCGGTTTGTCTGGCAGACCCCGTGATAGGCCTCGATGGCGTCTTCCTGATCTACGTGCTTTTCACTGTTAGGCCAACTTGTTCTGGCATTAATGTTCGGCTCCTAGAAGGTCCCAGATTAAAATTACACTCTGGTAACGTAAACAACTGTCATGAAACAACTTCATAAACTTTACATGCAGAGGAATAAAAACAAGTTTTTCGGGTGGCGAGGTGGGGTGCCTGGGTGGCTCAGTCGGTTAAGTGTTCCACTCTTGATCTCAGCTCAGTTCTTGATTTCAGGGTTATGAGTTCAAGCCCCACGTGGGGCTCCCTGCTGGGCCTGGGGACTACTTACAAAGAAAGAAAAAAAACCCCAAGTTTTTGGGGAAAAAACAAAGGCCCAGGATGACCTCAAATAAGAGCAGTTAAACCCAGCCAGGAATGTGATTTCCAAAGGCACAGAATGATAAGGCCTGGCTGTAAAAGGCCCTGAATGTGGAATGGTGGTTGGGGGGCCATGGGGCGGTGACAGTGTCTCTGGAGGTGACAGCACCCCAAATCCAAAGGCCAGGGTGACAATCTGTCTCAGCATTGATCTCCACACTCATGACTACCTAGGACTACCTATGTATCCTCCATGTCACCCCTGGGCCATACCTAGAGTGATCCAGGTCCTCTAGGGTCCCTGTCCCCTCCCCCTCCCAGTCTCCACTCTGTCCCAGAAGGTGAAACTATAAAGAACAAATCCTAAGCCAGACTTGCCCCACTGGGGAGGGCTGAGAGGAAAGGCTTTCTCTACCTCAGAATCAAGGTAAACAGCAAGGGGCAAAGCATGAGGTGAAAAACAAGGCCAAGGGGGCTGCTCAGGCCATGGCTCTTGCTTCTCTAATTCTCTGCCTTGTTCTTTTTGAACCTATTCATACTGAGTAAGTTCAGAAGATTCCAGAAATTTCCAGCAAAGTCAGCCATGAAAGGTCACATTGAAAGGGCAGCAAGTATCTTGCTTTGCCCTTAGCGGGGAGACCCCTAGAGCAGGAGAGTTTGCTCTTTTAGGTTAAAGGTTCTCGCGGGTAAAGATATGTAAGAAAAACCCCGCCTGTATTACCACCGAGGGTCACCCCCTCACCAGCCTGGCTGGGGGCTGCCGAATCGTTACCGTGCTCTTGCCGGCAAGTCGGCGCTGGTCGGCGCTGACGATCTGGGTCCTCAGGATGAGCACCTCCTCCTTGCGAACCTCCAGCTCCTCATTGGCCAGCTTGAGCTGGTTCAACAGCAGGTGGTAGCTGTCTGGGGAGCCGTGGGTGGAGTTGTTCTGGGTGGCTTGGTCGGCCACCGCTTTCCTTAGCTCATTCAGGTCATTCTTCAGCTTCTTGTTTTCCGACTCCAGCTCTTGCCTCTGGAAGACAGCCCAAGCGACACACTCCCTTTCTCCCTGGACCTCGGTTGGGGATGGGGGTCTCCCCATGCCGTCTTCCCCCTCCACCTTCCTTAACCAACCTGCCCTGACTCCCACGAAGCGAACAGCAGCCTTCTGGTTTTAACAAGAACATGCACCGTAAATGTTCTGACCAGCGAAAGGCCAGTAGTTAAAACTGGATTTGAACCCACAGCCCTAAGTTACTGGCATGAAGCATCGCACACAAGGCCTCTATGATAGCATTCCCTGAAGTGACTGACAGTGTTCATACTTCTAAGTGTACTTGGCCATGAAACCCCTACCTACCTTCATGGAAATGTCAGCTTAATTTTACAGAACATGCTTTTAACACTGGACTTCCTAGAACCTTAATACACTAATGCACTTGGTGACTTTCCAGAGAGCATATAGACTGCAGGATTTCCTAAACTTATCTCTCAAGAGATCACTGTCCACCTCCCCCCCCCCCCCCCCCCCACCATTCTAAGGAGCACCACGTAGACTAAAGTTTTGGAGTATATTTTGGAGTATACCAGGAACACTCTTTTGTTGGTTGGGTCACATGGAAAGCCACCAACAGTCAATGCCAGTGGAAGAAAAACCACTTGTGTATAGAGTAAAATATACCACTGAAATTCAACTTTAGGATGTATTTTGAGTTTTCTGGGCGTAACATTTAACTTGGTGTTGGACAAAGTCAGACCATATATAGTTTGATAATCACACATATAATGCTTTTAAGGTCTTGCTGTATATGGGATTCAAAATTTCCCAACCCCAACTGCCGGCCCCCCAAAAGTGGATAAGTGGGGGACTGCCTGCAGATTACAGAAGCCACAGAACTAGGAGACCATATAAACAAACAATGTCTTTGTTTTCTGAACAAGGACAAGAGAACAGAGCTGAGAAGGCTCACAATAAATTTAGAGGCCCTGTCAGGACTAGCACCCAGGATTCCCGATGCCTGGTCCAGAGAGTCTCACCTTCCAGCCCCCCTACATCACATCAGGCCTCTTTGAGCAATGCTCTGCAGGTGTGGTGGGCCTGCGGACCCCCCCCCCCAAGTCCCTCTCATCCACAGTGGGGGATGTCTAAGCCTGGAACCCAGTACCCAAATGGTGTGCTTCTAGCCCCTTCATGCACTAGAGAAGGATCGGGACCATTTCTAAAACTCTGGTAGGGGGAATTCAGAGTATCAGCAAAAACCACTACTCATGGTGGGGGCAGGGGGTCCTCCTGCAGTTGCCTCATCTCCCCCCGTGCACTTGTGGGCAGGTTTTCCAAACCCGGTTTGCTGAGGATTGGGTCAGAAAAGATGGCTCAGTGGCCAGGTGTGTAGACTCGCCATCTGCTCAGACCACGTCTACACTCTGAGAGGGCACGGTTGACCTCCCGCCCTCCATGCCCTCGGAAAGATATGTCCGCTAGATATGGGTTGGCATAAAGCCCCATTTTTCCTCATTTCCCTCAAGGTCTGGGTCTGTTAAGTGAGAAGCATCGCAGCCAGCCTCCCCAGCCTTGGTCTCTTGCAAACCCAGGGGTCCCCAAGGCCAGCCTCTGGGACAAAGGGCACAGGTTGAGCCCAGTCTCACCAGAGACAACGAAGGGAAACCAGGTCTTGTAACCTCAGAACCCTGGCCTAACAGAGCAGAGGGGTCATGGAGCTTCAATAGTTTCGGACAAGTATTTGTTGAGGTCTCCGTGAGCCCGGCCCTGCGCTGGCAGTGCGATGCAGACTACAGGACCCGGGGGGCACCTTCCTCAGGGGGCAGCTGAGAGAAGGGGAGCTTTTGAGCAGATTGGGAGATGGGAGCCCTGGGAGCAGCACTCTGTGCTGGAGTAGAGCAGTGGTTCTCAGGGTGGCGTGGGTAACAGAAACCTCATGAGGGCGGATGAAAGCCAATGGATATGGCAGGGCTGGGCTGGGCATTTGCCTTTCTAGCATGTCTGCAGTGATGCTGTTCCTAGACCACTCCTGGAGACCCACTGGGCTAGACTGTCTTACCGGTTCTAATGCAGCCTAACAAGTTCGCATGCTCGGGGACGGCTGTGGAAGAATGGTGTGCGGAAGGCCCGTACCACAGGCATCTACCACCAACACCCTCGCAGTGCTCTGAAGCTTTTAAGTATCACACGAGAAAAATAAGTCCGATCAATAATTCCGAAAAGAAGGCCCCCACACTTCTGTGGCTCCCGTTGTTCAAAAAGCCATGGGCACAATTCTGGGCTGTTCTCCTGGGGTAATGAAGCTGTTGCCAGAGATTTCCATGGTCCTACGAGTGCAACCAGACTGACCACAGCAGAATGGATAAATTCCCCATTCCCAAGTCTCTGGGAATGGGAGGGGCGGTGGGGGAGTGCTCTGATGCCCCTTTTCTATACATTCCCTCCCAGCCCCAGAGCCTAATCCTCCATCACTGTAGTCAACATAGGCCTGCTTGCCCTGGGACCTTCCACTCTCTGACCTCCCAGCTCTCATCGGGCCAGCCCTGGGTGCATGGGGACATCTCTCCATGCAGGTCTAGATCATTTTTCAAAGTGAATTCATCCCACTGGCCACCTACGACTTTAACTGGAACTCTATCAGGTAGGTAAAGACATATGTGACATAACAAATACATATGTGGTTCTGGCCCTGGTTCCTGGCCCAGAGCTTCGAAAACTCTTGTGATTCCTACTGACAGAGATGAGAGGAATAGCTTTCATTATATTTGGTCTCAGGGCCTGGTTCCGGACTCAGGGATGCCAAAACCCTTGGCATTTCTTCTAAGTCCTAACAAGCCCCTTTCAGCCCCACTGAGCTGATGCCAGCCACCAGGGGAACCAGCCCTGAGAGCACTGCAGCTTACCGCCCCACCCCAACCAACGCCCTGAAAGGGAAAGAGGAGGGCTGGAGATCGAGCTAAAAACACCCAAAGCCAATAATTTTATCACTGGTGGCTGTGTAACGGAACCTCCACAGAACCCTGAGCAAGGAATTCAGAGGGCTTTGGGTTGGCAAGCACAGGGAGCTGGTGGGGGGTGGAGATGGCCTGTGAGATGGCCTGTGAGCTCTGTGCCCCTTCTCATACACCTTGCGTCTCTTCCATTCGGCTGTTGCTGAGCTGTATCCTTTATAATCAACCAATAATAGTACATAAAATGCTCTCCTGAGTTCTGTGGGCTGTCCTGACATATGGTCAAACTTGGGAAGGGGGTTATGGGATCCTCCGATTTGTAGCCAAGTTAGACAGAAGTGTGGGTCACCTGGGGACCCACCCATCTGATTGGCATCTGAAGCGGTGGCTGTCTTGTGGGACTGAGCCCCTAACCAGTGGGGTCTGTGCTAACTCCAGGGAGCCAACACCTCGTTGGTGTTTCCTATGAGCACAGACTATAGCTGCTTGCGGTGAATACACATTTCCTCCATTTCCGAGAGGAAGAGACCCAAGGGGGCCTTGGTGTGCTGATGGCTCCACTCGAGAACAGACTCTGTCATCCATCCTCCGCAGGGGAGAGTTCGAGGACCTCGTGTGCTGACAGTCTTACCTTCAGACTATTGTAGGCTAGATCTGCATTCTGGTCCAAGTCTAGGTCACTCTTCACTTGCTCCCCCTGCACAGATGAGGAGACAGCAGGTGAGCCTGGACCACAGGCAGGGGTTCTGCAGGCGTGTTTCCACCTATGGTCCCTGGGCTTGTTTGCACAAGTGCCCATACCCGCTGCCCCTGCCACCCAGCAGGACCACCTCCTTCCCATCTCTAAAACATAGCTTACAGCTCCAGGCCCAGGGAAGCTCTCTGCAGATGACCCCTCCGCCGGCCCTCATCCCCTCCATGACTTTATTTATGGGATCCTCATGTATACAAACATGTAAACGCTCCGTTGTGGGTCGAATTATGTCCCCACAAAAGAGACGTTGAAGTCCTAACTCCTGGTCCCTGTGAATGTAACGTGATTTAAAATGGGGTCGTTGTAGATCAAATCAAATCAAGATGAGGTCATTAAGACGGGCGCGAAAGTGTCCTCACAGGAAGAGAGAGGGCGCACGCATAAGCACACGCACGCCACGTGCATGCATGAGCACACGCATGTCACACGCACACAGGGAGGAGTGCCGCGTGAAGATGGAGGCAGAGACTGGAGTCATACGGCGCCAAGTCAAGGAACTGGAGCTGAGGCATACCCAGGGTTTCCAGCAACACCAAATGCTCAGAGAGAGAGGCATGGAACAGATTCTCTCCCAAGGCCTTTAAGACAGTATGGCTCTGCTGAACCTTCATTTTTGACTTCCGGCCTCCAGAAGCATGAGAGAAGAAAGTTCTGTTTTGAGCCATCCAGTTTGTGTGACTTTGTTCCAGCAGTGGAGGAAACCAGCACCATAACACGTATGTACTTACTAAGAAGGTTAATCAATAATTTTGTCCTTATTAATGAGATCCAGGAGTTACTTTGGGGTGTTTTGGGATGTGTGTGCATAGGTGTGTTCTGTTTCTCCAGCTGCTCCCTCCATGTCCCCCTCCAGGAGGGGGTCCAGCAGCTGGCCCCTGCAGCGCTCACATGCCTGACACTAAGCTCCGAAGGATGTGGACAGTGGCGCCCGGAACGCTGGCCCATCAGGACTCAAGGAACCAGGACTCCTATGGCAGCTACTGGACTTGAACTGGCAATGAGAAGGGGCAGGAGCACCCTCATAAAGGGGGTGCTCAGGGCGATTTCAAGCAGTGGGTGACGGTCCTTAAATAAGATAGGTTTTGGAGCTAAAACCTGACAGTGCTTCACTGGACTATCTGCGTGTTAGCGGCCTTAGGTCCGGGCTAAGGCCATCACCAGCCATGCGTGGATCAGGTGTACCCAGGCAGAGGGCCCAGGCAGAGCACGCCGAGCACCTCCCGAGGACGCTCCCGGATTCAGGGTTGTGGCGCTGACCACTGGGCTCCCTGCCCCCCCGCAACCTGGGAAAGCCGCTGTCCAGGGTACCAGTCTCTGCCTCGCCTCCCGCCTCAGCAGTGGTCTGGGTGAGCTCTTCACCAGCCGCCCCAGTGAGAGGCCTGCACTTGCGTTCCGCGGAGCGGGGATGTGATGCGTGGCCATGGATCACTGTGGAGTGCGTTTGGTTCCGGGAACATGGAGATCATCTGCAGTCTGGGGGGCTGCGTTAAGGTGGATTGGCAGTTATGTTTCTAAATGGGCAGTCTGTTGGGATCACCCTGGTGGCAAAGGTGACTGTGTCAGGCCTGGGAAAGGGAGCTGGATGGATGGGAAGCCCAATACAGGGGCAGCCCAGTAGTCACAGAGGCCCCCTCCTCACAGCAGGCTATCACTCCCATGATGGCACAGGTTATAGACATCTCTGTCCCTCCTCCTCCACAGCATGGCCTCTCTCAAGAGGCCACCCTGCAGTGACAAGAGCTGACACCCTGTGGCACGTCTCTCCAGGGAAAAGACCCAGTGGCTTAGGATCCCTCTTGCAACCGATGGCAGATCCAAGAACATGATCTCGGCAAATTCAGTTTCAGGGTGCTCTAGAGGGATTCCAGAACTTCCATCCCTGCTCCACTCTTGCCTTTCTTACTAAACTCTCAAAAACAAGATCCTTCTCCTTAAAGGAAGACCCTCAATTTACATCCAGGGCTGTGTGGCAAGCCTATGTTCTAACTCTTGTTCGGTAATTGCTTTCAAAGAAATGGATTTTTTAAAAAAATTTTGGTACCAAAGAAAAATCCTAAAGCCAAGATTTTAGAATTATTTGGCATTTCTGTGATGGGTGAAAGTCTAGGGATAGCTGGGTGGGCCGGGGACTTTGAGGTCAGGTACTGTCTGCTGTCGTCGATGTGGGTTTTCATACATTTGACTTGTGCTGCCTGTCAGGGAGGCTTCTCTTCTAATGGACCGAGTCATTGGTAAACCTAAACCTTTCGCTCTCCATTAGGAAGCTAATCGACCTTAGAGACTCAAGTCCACCACAAGATTCACCTCCCCACTCAGTGCTCAGAACACCCAAGAACACGCTAGCAATACAGACCAAGGTCTGTATTACATCTGAAGGGAAAGGAAGCCAGGTGTTACCAAAAGGAAACAGGGTGCAGAGGTAGGAGTGGGGGCAGGGCTGAGATGCGGGGAGGGGGTCAAACCCCACAACGGGCAAATCAGGCCTAAGAACAGAGCACAGGCCTCTGACAAAGCCACCAGGAGGTCAGCTAATGCCATGACCCATGTCAGAACCGGTCTTCCGCCCCATCAGAACGGGTCCTTCTACTTCCCAAGACTCGTGCAGCTCCTCCCTCCGTACCACTGCTCACCTCCATGGGCTCTGTCCCCTCCTACAGCACCAGTCCACACCCAACCGTGCATGGGTTTGAGCGCTTCCAATGTTATTCTTTCTTTTTCACCGGTGTTATGCCTGGCCCTCCCAACCTGGATCACAAATTCCTTGATGGCTAGGGAGTTTTCTGGCATTTTTTGTGTCCTCTCCTTTCATAAGCATTCTGAACACCTGCTATGAGCACAGCGCTGAGTGCTGAGCAGGGGCCCAGCAGGTCCCAGACAGAGAAGGGACTCGATCCGGAGACACTAAGGGTTCAGGCAATACCCTTTCGAGACCCAAGATACGGATGATCATCCGGGCTGAGGCCAGGGGGCAATCATGGGACAGCAGGGTGAGCGACTGCCAACCTGGGCTTCCCCACCTGAGTGGGGCTAAACTCCAGTCCACGCCAGACTCCACATAAGGGGCGATCACTGTTCTCTGCTAAAATTCAACTCTGGCTTATGTTTATACTTGAGTCACACATTCCAGTCCTCTTGGCGAATAGGGGCCAAGGCCACAGCACCTCCCCCACCCCCGGCCCAGCCGCTTTGCCTCTGGAAATCCCTTGCCCTGGGGTACTTGGCAGAGCCTCCTCCTGTCCACCTGGAGTGGTGTGGGGGCACTGGCAGGCAGAGAAAACTCGACAGGACATCAACAGGAGAAGCAGCTCTTCCCTGCTCCCCAACACCTGCAGGACCCCAGTGGTCACAGCCTGAGCCCCGGGAGGACGCGGGGCCGCCCTTCAGGCTTGCCGCCCCCGCACGCACCTGCACCTTCCTGCCATCCTGCTGCTCTCTCTTCTCCAGCTGCACCTGCAGCTTCTTCCGTTCCTGCTCAAGCTCCCGCACTCTCTTCTGCAGCTTCAGGAAGACCGTCATGTCCATGGCCGCCTTTTCCAGGCCAATGTCCTTCGGGGGAACACAGGGAGCCGGGAAAGAGGTTTCAATAGCACCAGTGCCTTAGGGGACATGCAGCCTGCCTCTCTCTGAGCTGTCTTCTCTCTCCGCCCAGACATCAATCCACGCCCCAGAGGCAAAGCCAGTGCCAACCAACCATCAGTTCTCCTAGTAAAGTTGGCACTCCAGGCTCATTTTCTGTCTCAATAACATCTGAGTCTTGGCCATTTATATTCCTGTGAGAGCCACTTAAGATAACCGCTCATACATTCCCAGAATAGATAAAGACACAGCCATTTTATTTGGAAGTTAAAAGAGCTCACTTATGGAAACGGTCTCATACCAGAGAAACGGTAAAACGCAGGCTTTAATGCCCCCTGACCAAGAACCGATGTGGTTACCTGTCCCTGCAAATGTGTCTAAACGCCACTTGACGGCACCTTGAGACAGAACCAACGCTGCCCGGCCACCGGACCCGTTTTTTCCACAGACTGTAGAGCATCAGTTTCCCAGATTTCCCCCCTTTCGATTCAGGCCTGGCTTTGCCCCCTGGGTTCTGTTGTGTGCAGGTGTGTCTGCACGAGCATATCCATGTGGACTTCTAAAGTCCACGTGCCCACACGGGGGACAATAGAACTTGTTCAACATGCATGTCAGGAGCGCACGGAGCTCACTGCTCTGGCTCATCCCAGGGACCAGCCTCAGTCTCCCTGAAGAGTGAAGTCCACCGACGGAAGCCCTTATGTCTACCCAGAAACGGTCACACACACACCTGGGTGGCCCGTCTGGAGCTCAAGTGGCTGAAGCCTCTGGGACCCAGACTTAGGCAATCGCAATGGTAAAACCAGGGGCCCCAGTGAGCATGGTTAGGCACTTGCCAGGCATTCATGGCCAGCAGCCTGTAAGACAGACCGCCTTCTTGTCCCAGGGGCTTCTTTTCCATCCTCCCCACCTTTCCTCTGTCACCCGCTGTCTCTCATCATATGCATCACACGTACCCACAGTTATTTTCCAAACATCCCCTACCACCTGACTGTCCCCTGACTCCACACCTGACAAGCCCCAAGAGGGGCCGTCTCTGGCTTGGTGACTGCTCCTTCTCCAGGGCTCACCCGCAGTGCATGGCACCAAGACGTGCTCAGGGCACATTTGTGTTCGTGACTGTCTCTCCTCCAGCTCTCCCATGTGCTCTGTAAGGTCTCATCTGCTTGTGGATTCTCTTCTCTCCAAATGCCAGAGGAAAAACTGGGTCTATGCACCCCTGACAAAACCACACACAGGTTACCAAGGCCAGTGAGTTGCACCGTATTTAGAGACAAAGATGTAGTCACTCAGCAAACATGTGTGGCTCCAAATAGTCCAAATAATTCTTCTCTGAGTTTGATCTGCTTCTCGGTCAGAGGAAAAAAAAAAATTCTTGCATATGTATGGATATTCTGTATGTGCTGTGATACTAAATAGGGATGATAATCTCTATTTTAACGACTATGCTGTTCCTTCTTCTTTTTTTTAATTTGAGAGGGAGAGAGGCGCACAAGGAGAGGGAGAGAGAGAGAGAACCTCAAGCAGACTCCACCCCTGGCACGGAACCAGAGACGGGGCTTGATCTCACAATGCTGAGATCATGACCCGAGCCGAAATCAGGAGTCAGACGCTTAACTGCTGAGCCCCCCAAGTGGCCCAAAGCTGTGCCTTCTTAAGCCAGCCACTTTGCCTCTCTGCCATGGGTTCTCAGTTTTACAAGAGTGACAACCAGGGATGTACCTTCTTTCTTTCTTCCTGGGTAGTGGGTAAGGGGAACAGTAATGTATCCCTTTGCACAGTAAATATTAACTCCAAGGTCCTGTAAATGCACTGCAGGCCAAGTGATGCCTCCATCAGGAAGAAGCCCCAACCAGCAGCAGAGGAAGTCCCCGTACAGCTGGTAAACCTCAAACTTTGCCTTCCCCCGTCCCCCGCCCCCTCCCAGAGTAGCCGCTGCCCTGCCTTACTCACCTCCACCTGCTGAAGGGCGTCCTCTGTGTCTCCGACCTCAGATGTGGAGATGGAGGGGTAATTGGAGTCAGACTCTAAGCTACTTTGGTTTGATGGGTTCCGCCTGTGGCCTGGGGTTTGCTGTTGAAGGAGAAAAAAGGGAGTGCTCATAACGAACTGATGTTAACGAGAACGGTTCCTTTTCAAAGGCCGGTAGACCCTAGAATTGGACTTTTGCCTTATTTGCCAACAAGAACAGGTATCCCTGTTTCTGGGAACAATGGCTAAATGGAGCCATTCCCACACAAACTTCACTGACGTCCATCTAGCCAACAAAATGACCATGAGAAGGGAACCCCGTGGCAGGATGGAACTCCCTAATGAGTCTCCTCATGACATCCAAATCCCTGACACTGGCCGATTTCTCTGAAGGTCCTGCGGAAACAACCCGTATCTCCTGGTCTTGCCCTGAAAGTGCAAACACACTGTCCTGTCATTGGTCCCCACCTCCTGCCCCGGAAAAGAATGTTACAGATCTGCCCCCAACTGGCTCATACTGCCACTTGTGCTCCCCCAATTTTATGAAAATAGTAAGCATATTAGAAATAGAGGTTACCATTTATACTGTTCATTTAAAAATACTTTTTCCCCCCTTGTATATGATTTGGCTTTGAGAGTAAAAACTGATCTTGGTCAGAAAATTCTGTATTTATATACGTTCCTATTTAGTTTCTCTTCCTGGTTTCTATGCAATTAACTTATCAATCTTGTCTGAAGACACATTTCTAGAAGGAATGTTTACGTGAGGTAAAAAAGAATGATAAATCCTGAAATAGGACATTTCTATGTCTACTACGTTTCATCTAAGATTGGGAAAAACCATCAGACCCTGGGGGGTCTCTCTGCAGTACACGCCACGGATACAGAGGTCAGAACTCGCCCCCACACCATCACTGTTTCAACTCAGGAATTCCCCAGAACAGGGAGCAAGATAGCATACGCCTAGGTGGGATTTTCCTTAGGCTCCTGAGAACTCAATAAGACCGCAAAGCTGGGAAAGGAGCCATCCCTGGGAACAATCACCCGGCCCTGTTACTTCCATGCATGGCAACTCTCAGCAGGAAGGGGAAGGACAGGGGCAGCGTGGTGGCCCAATGGCAGTGCCGGGGCCAGCCTGTGCAAGAATGGCGTGGAGTGTCAGAAGCGGGGCCGGCTCAGGGCCGGGACCGGGGCCAGGACTGCCCTCCTTGCCTTGATGATGCTCATCTCATCCCGGAGGTTGTCATATCTCTGCTCCAGCCGAGAATATTCCTTCACGAGGTTCTGGTACCGGGAGCGCTCCTCCTCCAGCTCTCTCTTCATCAGATTCTCCTTGACAGAATTTTGGGCAAATTCATCTGGAAAGCAAGTACACTAAGCTGCAGTTTGGCTTTCTGAACGGATTCCTCTCACACGTATTGATTGACTCGTGCTTTCTGATTCATCTCTTTTTAAAAGGCTGCCCATGATGAGCTCCTTTTATGGACCCCTGATGCCTTTATCCAGCAACCTCACCCACGGCAGAGCAAAGGACTGCTGCTTCTGGTGGCGTAAGTCCTCAGAGAAGGGGAGAGCCCACCCTGCTTTCGGGAAAGTGCGGGAGAAGCAGGCAGCCTACATGACATCCCTTCACTTAACAACAGCTTCTCCCCTGGGACCACTATCCTGGCAGCGGCTAGCACTGTCCCTGGGAGAACCCAGGCTTTGTCCCCCAGTTTTGTCCCCATTCCTGATCTTCCGTGTTCTTGAAGTGTAGTGAGACTGAAGAAGGGAAGGCAAATAGATCAAATAGATGGGCTTTCCCCCCACCCAAACTTATTATTTATACCAGTAGAAAGAAATCATTTTAAAAGGGAAATTTAAAAGTTTAAGTTTTCAAGGAGATCTCAGGGTTCGGGTGGGGGACAGACCTAAGGATGGGAGAAGGTGGGTGACTTGCTTAAGGAACCCACTGAGCCAGGCAAGGACTGGGGTCTGCGGAAACCCACCGTTTCTCATAGGCCAGACGGCACATGGGGTCGATGGTGGTGCGAGGTTTGCTGGGATCAGACCCCTGATTTCTGTTGCAGCAACATTAACAGAAGAAATCACAATGTGCATTATGGACGTTATAGTTAAAATCAGCAGTAATGAGCTTTAGGTGCTCATTATGGGTCAAGCATCAAGCTAAGTGCTTCAGACGTCTGAGGTCTGTACTTTTATGTCCATTTCGCAGATGAAGAAACGGAGGACTGCAGTTATTAAGGGACTTGCTCAAAGCCAGGCAGTCACATATGGTAGTCATTCTTCAAGTGCAGGCCCCATGGGCTCCAAAGCCCATGCACTACTTCGTCCATCATGTGCGCATCTCACTGCATTCAACTCTTGAATCCAAGAGTCACAGCAGCATCATGAAGACCACCCTTCTTTCATATGCATTAAAGCCTTTCCTCCAGTGCACCATCTTGACCGTGTCCTTGTTAAGAGTCTTTGGGGGAAAAATCAGTGTGGAAAAGAAACTGAACTCCGAAATGAAAAATCAAGCACTTTGCACTTACCTTTCACTTGGCACAGGATTTGGTTGTTCAGCTGTTCTTTCTCATCTTTTAAGAGAGCGTTTTCTTGCTCCAGGACTGCAACTTGCTGAAAGGGAGAGCAACAGGAGAAAATGTTTGTCCAGTGCAGCTGAGCAAAGGAAAGTCTCCTTTTGAGAGGTCTGAAGTTCACCTGGTATGTTTAAATGCTCTTTTTAAGAAAATCAAATCAGCTGATATAAACGGCCAACAGACACATGAAAAAATGCTCCATATCACTTGTCCTCAGGGAAATTCAAATCAAAACCACAATGAAATGCCACCCTACACCAGTTAGAATGGCTAAATTTATCAAGGCAGGAAACAACAAATGTTGGCAAGGATTTGGATGTGGAGAAAGGGGAGCCCTCCTACATTGTTGGTGGGAATGCAAGCTGGTGCAGCCACTCTGGAAAACACTGTGGAGGTTCCTCAAGACCTTAAAAACAGAGCTACCCTATGTCCCAGCAATTGCACTACTGGGTATTTACCCCAAAGATACAGATGTAGTGAAAAGAAGGGGCACCTGCACCCCAATGTTCACAGCAGCAATGTCCACAACAGCCAGACTGGAAGGAGCCGAGATATCCTCCTTCAACAGATGAATGGATTAAATGTGGTCCATATATACAATGGAATATTACTCAGCCGTCAGAAAGGATGAATACCCACCATTTGCATCGACATGGATGGAACTGGAGGGGATTGTGCTAAGTGAAATAAGCAGAGAAACATAGTTATCATATGGTCTCACTCACATGTAGAATATAAGGAATAGTGCAGAGGACCATAGTGGAAGGGAGGGAAACCTGAATGAGAAGCAATCAGAGAGGGAGACAAACCATGAGAGACTCTTGACTCTGGGAAACAAACTGAGGGTTATAGAGCAGGGAGATGGGTGGGGGGACAGGGTAACTGGGTGATAGGCATGAAGGAGGGCACGTGATGGGATGAACACTGGGTGTTATACACAACTGGTGAAATTACTGAACATTACAATCTAAAACTAATGATGTACTATATGCTGGCTAATTGAATTTAAATGAAAAAGAAAAAAAGAAAATCAAGTCAGCCAAAACTGCTTTCATTTCGAGGGAAAAACAGACCGAAAGAAAAATCCCATTACAATAAGACAGATGAGCTCCCCACTCTTTATGTTCTTCCAGGGCACACAAAAACCTCATGAAAAGTCAGCACCACGCTCACATGCCGTGTGCAGGAACTGACGATAATAGGCTTTCACCTCCTGTGTTTGATTGCTTGTCTTGGTAAATTTTGAGCTCTCAATCTGAGTGTCAGGAGAGCCCAGAGCTCGCAATGACGCATCATTTCCGGCCTTCATCTCACTTGCCCTCGCCTGTCTCATGGGGCCAGCACACAACCTGGGTGCTGCAGAAGGAAAGGGAGCTCTAGTGTTTAGCTTCTTCCTGAGACCCCCAAAGGAAGCATGAAGTGAACAGTATTGAAAATGGCACAGGAAGAAGATAGTAATTAAAGAAAAATCCTCGTCTGCTCATAGAATGAAGAATTAAAACCACGTGTGGCAAGCTTTTTAAAAAATGAAAATTTGTGGCTATTCAGGATCGGGGCAAATTCATGATCCCGGGGTCTTGGGATCGAGCCCCGCGTCAGGCTCTCTGCTCAGTGCAGAGCCTGCTTCCCCCACCCCCCTGCCTGCCTCTCTGCCTACTTGTGATCTCTGTCAAATAAATTTAAAAAAAAATCTAAAAAAAAAATTAAAAATGGAACAATGCAGACATGTTCCAGGAGAACTAGAAATTATTAGTTGTCATCCAGGAGAAGGGGAAAGGGGTCCATCTCTTTGGTAACATGGGCGTTCAAGTGCAATGGCGCCACCTCTGCATTTTCTCTCAGGACCCCCCAGGGACCCACTTTGCAAAAGGGCACTGAGTTGTTTTCCCCACCAAGATTGCATCCCTGCCTTCATGACAGAGGCAAGGAGGTGAGCGCTGCAGAAACTAGACAGGAAGAGGAGGAGGAACACGTGCCCTTATTTCAGGCATCCAGACTTGAGTCCTACTTCCCTGGAGGTCCTCTGAACCACTGCCAAGTTAGCAGAAAAAAGACCCCTGTGATCACACCACCATCAAAGCACAGCAGGTCTGGCCAATGGCAAAGATCAGGAGCTTCTCAGACACAGAGCACTCCCTCTCCACACCGCAGCCCCCGCCCACACCCCGTGACATGGACATGGAAAGGGCATCTGTAGAAACCCACGACATTAGACTTTATGGTGAAACAAAGACAGCCTTTTGCATCCATGGTCAGGACAAACACGAGGATGCTTGCTCTCGACAAAACCAGTCAACGCTGTACTAGAGATTCTAGACAGGCAACTGAAGAAGAAAAACAGTTCAATGAGGAGAGAATAGTCTTCTCAGCAAATGGCTAGGACAACTGGATGTCCACACACAAAACAAAATTGGACTCCTACCTCACAGTATATACAAAAACAAGCTGACATTGTATCAAAGACCTAAATGTAAGGGTTAAAACTATAAAACTCTTGGCAGAGAACATAGAAGCAAATCCCTGTGACCTGGGATTAGTCAATGGTTTCTTAATACAACACCAAATGCATAAGCAACCAAAGAAAAAAACATTTAAGTTGGAACTCATCCCAATTAGGAACTTTCCATGCTTCAAAGGATACTATCAAAGGCAAAGGGCAACCCAAGTATGAGAGTAGATATTTGTAAATTATCTGAGGTGGGACTTGGACCTGAATATACAGAGTATTTACAACTCAACAGAGAAAAAGAAATCCAATCAAAAAATGGGGGGAAATTGAATAGACACTTTTTTATGTGGTCAATAAGCACGTGACAAAAGTGTTCAACGTCATTAGGGAAAGGCAAACCAAGGTCGCAATGATTTATCACCTCACGTATACCACGATGTTAGGATACTACAAGAGAATTACAGGTGTTGGTGAGGATGTGGAGAAACCCGAATTCTCGTCTCCCCGAGGCAACAGGAACCAGTGCAGCAGCTTTGGAAGCTCCTCGAAAGTTGCATTTTAACTCTAGTAAGACCAACCATTCCATTCCTAGGTTTCCAGGAGGAAGGAAAACCCATGTCCACACAAGAACGTGTATACCGATGGCTGCAGGAGCATTATTCAAAAGGGCCAAAGAGCGGAAACAGTTCAAATGTCCATCAATGAACCAATGAACAAACTATGGCAGGTCCCGGTGATGAAATACTTTTTAGCAATAAAGAGAAATAAAGGGGCGCCTGGGTGGCTCGGTCGTTAAGCGTCTGCCTTTGGCTCAGGTCATGATCCCGGGATCCTAGGATTAAGCCCCGCAATCGCAATCGGGCTCTCTGCTCTCTCCCACTCCCCCTGCTTGTGTTCCCTCCTTCACTATCTCTCTGTGTCAAATAAATAAAATCTTTTTTAAAAAATAAATAAAGAGAAATAAAGTACTGGTCCATGCTACAACACAGATTAATCCTGAAAACATGATGCTCAGTGAACAAGGCCAGTCACAAAAGTCACGTATGGTATGATTCCATTTATATGCAATTTATATGAAATGTCCAGGACAGGCAGATCCATAGAGACAGAATATGAGCGGTTGCCTAAGGCTGGAGTGGGGAGTAAGGGAGTGGAAGAGGGTGTGACTGCTAATGGATACAGAGGGGTTTTTTGGGTGGGGGGATAAAAATATTCTAAAATTAGACTCTGCAATAGTTGTAAAACTATTTTAAAAATACTGAATTGTACACTTTAAATGGGTAAACTGTGGGTTGCGAATTATATTCAATAAAGCTGCTAAAAATTGTTCCCCAAGTAAGCCAATCCACTGAGCACAGTCCCCTGTGCTCAGCATGATGGGAGATGAAAAGAGGAGTATCAGACAGGCTCTGAGCAACCAGCTTCTCCACAGACAGCTCCAAGACTGGTGAGTGATGCAATGAATGACCTCGTTCCCCAGTTCAAGTCCTCACCTCTGTCATGTTTGGTACATTTCACGATCTACCGGTGGTGGTGGGGGGAGGGGGAGGGGTTAGGACTCCTCCCAGCCTGTGTAGAAAGATATCCTTGGCACAACACCATGTTCACTGTAGCTGAGCCTAGAGGGTGACCTCCAGGGACCGTTGTCTAGGAGATAGGTCCCTGATGGACCCACCTGCATCCCCACCAGAGAAACACCTTTCAGACTCTGCCAGAGCCCTGTGGCAGTAAAAGCAAGAAAGGAGGTCCCAGGGATTCTGGCTAAAGGGGAGAAACCTTCCTGATGTCTGAATTTCAACTATTTATGAGTAAATGCTATCCTCCCTTCCCCCAGCTTTGAAGTTCAGCTTAAGGAGCTGGGAGGTGAGGTAAGAGGACAGCTTCGCTCCCCACCTCCCCCGCAATGCTCAGCGTGGTATGGGAAAGGTCAGGAGAGAATTTCAACAAGGCTGGAGTCCAGGAGTGGGGTCCCCTGCCCTCCCACCTCCATGGGGGCTCGGAAAGCAGCAACGGTCTCAGGTGCGTCTGCTACTCTGGGGGACGGACGGATCCGCAGACGGCTGGCCGTCCACGGCTGCAGAGAGAGAACTGCAGATACACAGCATCTTTGGAGGCTTACAAAAAGCTCCAAGTACTTACTTCATCGACAGTCTTTTTACACAATCCAGAGCCTTCCAATTTCAGAGTTTTCAACATCCTTCAACAGGTGGCTAAAAACTACGTTCCAGGAAACTGTCCCTTCTCTGCCACACAGTGTTGCTGCTTTTTATTCTCTCTTTGTTCAGATGGACTCGGTTTCTAGCATGAGTTCTGCGGATGCAGGGCTCCGAGCTCCAGGAACAAGGCTCTGCCCAGTGCGGGTCACCCTGACACCGCTCTGGGTGTCTCTCAGAGCCCACGCCCGCCAGCCAGAGTTTGAGCCCTTTTGTGGAGAGTCAGCGAGACGGGTGTGCTCTGCTGCCCCCCACCCCAGGATTTCCAACGAGAAAAGGCTGGTAAAAAGACCGATGCATGTAACTAATGGCACCGCACTCTTCTTCATCAGCAAGTTACTGCCTGCTATGAACACAGCTGAGGTGTGTGTGCGG